TGGGGGTTATTTCGTGCTTTCTGTCTCTCTGTCTCTCCAGAGAGCCCATGTACACAAAGCAAAAATCGCTCTTAAAAAAAAAAAAGAAAAGAAAAGAAAAAAAGAGCATTTTTCTTTAGAGAATAAACTTACCAAGCCAGAAACTGCAGCAGTGGATGTTGCTATAGCAGGTATAATTTTACCAGCTATGCGCTTTGTTTTAAAACGGTCAGCTGGCTCAATGCTATACATTTTGGCACGAAGATTCGATGCAGCTGTGATAAAATCTATGTGTCCATTATGATCATCATCTTTTTCAAATGAAAGCACTGCCATCTGAAGGTCACCTGAGCATAACAACAAGGACAACAAAGTTCATTAACAAGATTTTACTACGTTAAAAGCACTGTAGGATTATTATTTTTTAAAGATTTATTTTTATTTATTTATTTATTCTTTTTGAGAGGTTTTTGCCTTAGGATTGCGTGTGTGCCAGAGAAACAGAGAGAGTGAGAAGGAAAGTGAGAAATCACCCCCAGGGGGATGGCCAGACCACAATCCCTTCTTCTCCTCTCCTCTTGGGATCTTGGGCAGGCATGCACATGTACTCGGCTTGAGTTTCTAGCCACCAGGTCCAGGATTTGTACCATAGTTAGCGATATGGGAATCTAGTGATACAACTGCTGTGCCATCTAATGGCCCCAAATTCTTATTCTTTAAATGAAAATAAGTTTTTTTAAATGAAATAAAAGAAAAATCCAGGCAGCTGAAGTTACTGAAGTACATCAAAGTGATAGCTTAACAATAAACTAAATAAATTCCTTTTTGAAAAAAAAAATGCCACTTCTAATAAATAGCAAAATAAGAAAATTATGTACCAGAGCTATCAAATGTTTTACAAAAAAAGTCAAAACTTGATATTGTTCAACAATTTATCTCAGGGCTATCCCTGTGGCCTAGTGGTTAAGGAAATCTGATCCCAATGTCTGACTGAGGTTTGAATCCCAGCTGCAATGGCTTGAAAAACACATAAAGCACAAGTGTGTGCATGTCCAAAATCTCAACAGGATGGAGAAATGGAGAAGAAATCATGGCGTGATCATGCCCATTAGAGGGATGCTTTTTTTACTCTGTCTCTGTCTTCTTCTCTCTCTCTCTCTGGCAAAAGCATGTGCCTTCTGCAATTAACAAAAAAATCCATAAATCCTACTGTAAAAATATGAATCTGAAACAAAACTATTCTATAAATCCCTCTGATTACCAAGAATCAGGGCAGTTGGTCAAATAAAAACACGTTTTAAGACATTTCTAAATCAGTGGTTTTAAAATCATCTTAATTATTGCTACTAAATTATTTTTCCTGAAATTTTACTGTTCTATGCAAAAAAATTTTCAAAAATTTGTTTCTATATAACAAAAAGATAGTGAGTAGGTCTAAAAAGTTGTGAATGGCTCTGTTCTTAAAGAAGTGAAAGTTAAGTTTTCCTCTATTTTCATATTTAAAACCACTTAGCAGTAATATATATAGGTCAGTTTTTATTCCCTGTAAATAATTAAGGAGATGAAAAACCTGGAAAGAGAACTGTCTATTGGTTCTTTATCCTAACGTGATTTAACTAGGTCTGTCTAAAGATTAAACTCCATAAGGCCCACATTGAACTAAAAAATGATCAGAACAAAGTAGTTAATGAGATTTAGAAAACTAGATTTTAAACTTTGAGTTAAATGATTAGTCACTGTTAAAAGACAAATGATGACTCTCATCAGATCATAAAACCAAAGATTACTGTTATTTTCAGTATTATTTAATCCCACAAACTTTTTGATGTTGAGCTCAGTGAAAATGAAAATCCATTCAGTTTAAAACATTTTTATAAAGATTTTCTCTTACTTTTGGTAGCCTCATTTGATGAAATTGCCTTTTCAAGCTGGAAAATAGCATTCCTCTCATCTTCACTGCTAATTGGAACGTGGTCTGGTTTCCTTGCAGTTTCATCTGTTTGAACAACCTGTTAATATATGCATATAAATTTATTAATGTTATCACATCTTACTTTTAAGTTTAAGCATTTATTTGCTTTATAAAATAAATCACGATGAGAAAATATTACCTCTTTTTTTATTTGATTGCAAATCATTAGGGTAAAAGGTATTTTACATCTTTCCTTAGTAAATAAAACTATGTTTTTAATATATGTATTTACTTTATTATCTATCATATTACATTGGCAATAAAAACTCTATAAAATTAGGGATCTTTATATTGTTCACTGAGAGAACACCAATATATATGAAACAAACCTGTACCTAGTGGTTGTTAAAATATTTGCTGAGGGACCAGCACATAGCGTAATGGCTATGTCACTGGACTCCCACATAGTTAACCATGGTTTGAGTCCCAGACCTGGTGGCTTAAACTCACGCTGGGCATGCTTGCCCAAGATCCCAAAAGGAGAATGGAGGAGAAGGGACTGCAGCGTGGCCATCCCCCTGGGGGAGTGATTTCTTGCTTTCTGTCTCTCTGTCTCTGTCTTCCACGAGTGCACATGTCCTATAGTAAAAACCATTCCCCTCACAAAAAAATTTTTAAAATGTGCTGAATAACATATAGGATCTAACTCCACATAACTCTTAAAATTCTAAAAATAAAGTTAATATTAATCTGCAGTTTGTGATTCTAATGAATGTACTTTAAACATAAATCCTATAGCTCTATCTAGTGCAGAAATGTTTCATGTCACCAAAGAAAGTGAAGAATGGACCAGCTCCATAGTGCAGTGCTTAAGTGCTGTACATGGATTCTAGACCAGCAGGTGGCATAGTGGTTAAGGCACTGGACTCCCACATAGCCAACCACAGTTTGAGTCCTGGACTTAGAGGCTTGAAACTCATACTGGGGACATCTGTATGTGTGCCCATGCCCAAAATCCAAAGGGGAGAATGAAAGAGAGGGGACTGTGGTGTGGCCATCCACCCCCGGAAAGGGGGGCGGGTGATTTCTCACTTTCTCTTTCTGTGGTGAGCACATGCGCCCTATAGCAAAAATCTCTAAAAAACAAAAACAGATTCCAAACTGCTAACCATGATTCAAATCTTGGATTGATGCTTGAAAAAACACACCAAGCATAGGTGCATGCATGTCCAGAATTCTGATGAGTGGAGACATGGGGGGGAGGAAGGATTTCAGGCTCCAGAGGGGATACTTTCTTTCTCTCTGTCTCTTGTGAGGCATACACCCACTGGCAACACATATAACAAAGAAGAGGGGTGGGCAGAGACAGAGGGAAGAGGAGGAGATCTTGAAAAAAATCCATAAAATATATAATATGGTCATCTTTTAAATACTGATTGCCGACAAGCTCTTTCCTAAGTAGTAAGTTTTCTTTTCACACAGAAAGTTTGGTACAATTAAGGCAGTACTAACAACAAGTAATCTATCCTTAAAAAATGACTTATTAGACATTCTGTGAGGACTGTGGAGTTAATATTCTCAAAGAAACCAGTTCCATCATCACTGAAGTACTATTTCTTATATTAAAAAGTACATGCAAATCATGTCTTTACAGATTAGACCTTTTTTTAAGTATTGAAGATATATAAAAAGTCAAGGCAAAAGAAACTTTTTTTTCTTTTTTTAGTTTTCCATAGGGCACGTATATGTGCTTGTTGGACAGAGAAGACAGAGAGGGGGAGAGAGAGAGTGAGTGAAAAGGCACCCTCATCGCCCTCCACCCCCAGGAGATGGCTGCTGCAATTTCTTCTCCTTGATTCATCTCTCAGAATTTTGGGCTCACATAATACCTGGATCTGGACTCAAACTGCACAGTCAGTCGTGTAGAATCCAGACATTTTTAACCACCGTGTCACCTGGCTGGCCCAGAAGCGAAACTTTTATTTGCTGGACTGTCTAGTTGATACTTTAGGCTGTGACCAAAAATATCTTTGTAATTAGAAGCTTTAATGTGAACTGTTTTAGGAAGCTTTGAAAGGGCAAACAACGCATGTTAAAACTGCTGCTAAACTGTTCAGAAAAACTGATTACCGCCAAACTCTGATATAGATGGAAAACACACAGAAGCAAGAGCATTAAAGACTAGTAATTTCATGTAGGAGTTTTGCCCAAAGGAAACATGAGCTAGGACCTTCTTTATGTGAGACTTCTGTTTATCTATACTTTACTTTTACTCTTTATCTTTTCTTCTTTTTTCCTAATATTGCGCAAGGATTCCAATATCTTTTTTTGCTGTTTTCTCTTTTCTTCTTCTTCTTTTTTTTTTTTTAAGTTTTTTTTTTTTTTTTTTTTTTTTTTTTCAGGTGTGTTGGGTTGTTGGGGAGGAAGCAGGGTGTGTGCGCTTGCTGGAGAGACAGAGAGACAGAAAGTGAGAAATCACCCTCTTGGGGGGATGGCTGTGCCACGATCCCTTCTCCTCCATTATCCTCTTGGGATTTTGGGCATGCATGCACACACACCTGGTGTAAGTTTCAAGATGCCAGGTCCAGGACTCGAACTGTAGTCAGCCATGTGGGAGTCCAGTGATGTAATCAGTATGCCATCTGCTGGTCCCAGGGTTCCAATATCCCCACATCCTTACTAACACTTACTCTATTTTGACTTAAGGTTTATTTATTTATTTCTTCCAGGAGAGAGACAGAAGCAAAGAGTTGGAGAGAGAGAGACAAAGCAGAACTCCAACACAGTCTTTAAGATAAGATCCACTCTTACTTTCATCCAGTCCAGATCGTGAACAGACACAAGTGAGGGACTCACATGCTCAGGGAGGTCCTGGGCTGTGGGTCCAGTTGTGTTACTACGACAGCACTGTCTTGCCCCTGTACTTTTATATAGGCCACACGTCATGAACATTTTATTCAGCTATCTATTTGTGCAAAATCACTTGCCTTGTCTTCCTTTTCCCTAAAATAAAAATGCAGAATGGAAGACTGCACATACCCATCTATTTGTGCAAAATCAATTGCCTTGTCTTCCTTCTCCCTAAAATAAAAATTGCAGAATGGAAGACTGCACATACCATTTCCTTCTTGAATTTTGAAGGAAGCAGTCATTTCCCCATCTGTTTTGGTATTGTTTTTTTGGAGAGGTTTTTGCTATAGGGTGTGTGCGTTTGCCAGACAGATAGAGAGAGAGAGACAGAGAGACAGAAAGCGAGAAATCACCCCCCAGGGGGAATGGCCACGCCACAATCCCTTCTCCTCCATTCTCCTCTCAGGATCTTGGGCACGCATGCACAAGCCACCGGGTCCAGGACACGAACCGCAGTCGACTACATGGGAGTCCAGCGCCATAGCCATTACGTTAACTGCTGGTCCCCTGTTTTGGTATTGTTAAAGGGGAAGGGGAAGAGAAAATTTTGTGGATGATTTTTAGAGTGCACATGAGAAAGGTACATACTGATTACATGAAAAAAATTTTTGTCAGACTTTCCTATTTACACTGCCCAAATTTCATGTTCCATCCTTATTAATATTTCCTATCTCTTTCCTACATGTTTGCCTGGCAAAATCCCAACTATAGTTCTTTTCAATTTTCCACCTATTCTACAGTATAAAGCATCCAAGTAGCTAATACAGCTGGAAAAAGGTAATGATCTTTTCTCCATCCGGATTTAACAGAATGCATTAAGTGGAGTAATATTAAGCAGATCCTCAGTGCTATCTTGCAATTCTACTACGTCTTCTGATTAAATGACTTTTCTTTCCCCCCCCTTTTTTTTATGAGGTTTTTGCCTTAGGGCACTTGCACTCACCTGGGGGAGAGAGAGAGAGACAGAGACAGAGACAGAAAACAGACACAGTGAGGTGAGGGAGAAATCACCCCCTTGGGGGGGAATGATCACAGAACCATCCCTTCTCCCAGGATCTTAGGCATGCATGCACACACACCCAGCATGATTTTGAAGCTACCATGTCTGGGACCCAAATTGGTCGGCCATGTGTGAGTCCAGCGACATAACCGCTAAGCCATCTGATTAAATGACTTTTCTACTTATATGTTCTTTCCTCTGCTTTAACTCCCTTTATCTTCCTATCTCTCTCACTCTTGACCTAATAAGCATGCTATTTATTTCAATAACAACAATAAAAAACCAAAGCAAAACAATCTTTTTCCCCCTCACACTATGATTCTAATCCCTTAAAAAATCTCAGGGCTACAGTAAAATAAATACAGAATCTCACTCATCATTACTTTCTTGCTAACTGACTTTATCTAAATCACTGTCTATTGCCTGTATTCCTAAAATGCCTCCTAAGAGCTTTTCCTGTGTTTCCTCTCTGTCCTATAAAATAATTTTTAATGCAACAGCCAGCGTCATCTTTTTAAGTCATAAGTCAGATCATGTCATCTTCTGCTTAACTTCCTCCACTGGCCCCTACCACCTCACAGGCTGAGGACACACAGAATGCCTAGGATTGATTCGCAGCCCACCCTAAAAAGCCAGGCATGGTGACATGTGTCTGAAGTCCCACATAATGAAGAGTCCACGGCAGGAGGAATAAGAGCTCATAGCCCATGAATCCAACACAGTAAGACTGAAAAGAACCGAGGATGGTGGGGTGCACCAGTGGTTTTAGCTACTTACAGAATGAGACAGGAGGACTAAAGTGAGATTCTTGTCCAAGCAAACAAAACACCACTAACACCACCAAACACATACATGTGCTTACACACAAACACCCTTCCCTGGCTTCATATCTCACAGTAAAACACAAAGAACTTACCATAACTTGAAGTACCTCTTTAACCTCAGCCTGTCACTTTCATATTCTCCTCTAGAAGAGTACTGGCCTTAAAGCTTTTAGAAGCCTTTCTTTGCACTTGTTCTTGCTGCCTCATTGAGCTTTCACCAGATACCAGCATGATGTCTCATTCATTGCCTGACTTCACTCGAGGTTTTGCTTAAATGCTACCATTATCAGAAAGGCTTTTCTTCCCTTTTCATTTCATCTCACATACAATGTTATCTTTTTTATTTTTTTGGAGAGGTTTTTCTTTTTTTTGCTATAGGGTATGTGCACTTGCCAGAAAGACAGAGAGAGACAGAGAGACAGAAAGTGAGAAATCACCCCCCAGGGGGGATGGCCACGCCGCAATCCCTTCTCCTCCATTCTCCTCTCGGGATCTTGGGCATGCATGCACACATGCCCAGCATGAGTTTAAGCCACTGGGTCTGGGACTTGAACTGTTGTCAACTACATGGGAGTCCAGCGATGTAGGCAATTATGCCATCTGCTGGTCCCTCATCTCACATACAAGTTGACACCACTTCTATTTTATTTCTTTTTAGCATTTATGATCACAGTGCAAAATTACATACCTATTAGCATTTTCATTTCTACTTCATCTCCACCCCATGGAATATAACACCAATAAGTCAAGAACTCTGTTCATTGTGGTATTCTCCAGGTTTAGAGTGGGAATGACCTAAATAGTTTAGTAACTATTTGCTGAATGAATGAATTTCTAAACATACCTTATTGGAAGGTTTGAATTCCTGAATCTTTACTTCTGAAAGAATATTCAAGAGGGCATCTGCTGATAAGTCCTGTTTTTTAAAAAAGTAATTTTATCAACAAACTTACTCTTCTAATTATGAATCCCAAGGTTGAAAACATTCTACAGTATGATTTTTATTATGTTAACATATATGGATTATTTATCATTTGAATATTTAGACTACATCTACTTGAAACATTTCATGTTATTTCTATAGAAATATCATCCATAAAGGATACTGGGGAGATGGTGGAGGGAGTAATGGGCGAATAACTCAGGTCAACAAACCTGAAATCCTAGTTCTTCCTGTGAATTTTTTTTTTCCTGTAAATTTTTAAAAAGGTGGTTTTAGGACTGGTTTCAAATATAAAGATTTGCAGATAGGGATTATCTTTTTCATTTTCTTGCCTTCACTGTTTTATAAATTTCCCTGCCCAATTCATTAAGTAAATAAATGGAATTTATATACTGAATTTAAATTCAGAAAGAAAACCTCAACTTCTTCTATTGAGAAATGAGAAAACATTTAAGTTGTTCAAGATGAACTTAGATGAATTTAAGTCTATCAGATCCATATTCATTATTAGGAAGTTGCTTAGGAAAACTGAGAAATACTGCTTTTGAGGCCAACTTCCACTCATCACAAAACTACCTCTCTTTTCACCAGAAGTAGTTTGAATATCACCAATTTTATCAAACATTTATGGTGTATTTTATTTGAATTAACTTTGAAAATGATTAACCTACAAGAAGTATTTTTATCTAGATCCAAAATAGCCAATGCTAATTTGAATCTGCTTCATGTTTCTTCATTCAGCCTACCTTAAAGTACAGCAATTTATTTTGCTTCAATATGCATTTTCACAAATATAGACCTATTTCTCAAATAAAACTGTATTAACCTGTTAGATGTCAATCAGTGAATATGATGTCTAAGTGAAAGAGTAAGATCATAAGAGCAAGAAGCATCATATAGGAAAGCATTTCATATTTCCCTAAAAGCACATAATAAACATCACAAATATAACAAAATAAACAAATACAGTCTCTATGCAATATTTTTAAATTGCTATGAAATGGCTCATTTTGACTTTTTAAAATCATTAGCCTAACTGAAGATAATAAATGGGGTATAAACATTTTGAAAATAAAGTATGACAGTTTTTTACAAACACTGCTGTTTCACTACATAAATTCAGAAAGAAAACTTCAACTTCTTCAATTTAGTAATACCGAGAGTTTCAGAATGAAAGGCAACAATAATACAACATAAAGTTTGACATAAACAAATTCTTATCTAAACTGGTTTTCTATCAATGGCTAGGGTGTGAAGTACCTTACCTCTTCTGTAAATGGAATGCAATATACTGTAGCATATAGTTTCGCAGCATTCTGAAGGAAACTGAGGTGCCTTTTGAAATGAAAAAAAAAATTAATAAAATAAATGGACAGTTCTTTTCTAAAATTTAATACTTCCAAAAGACAGAAGGTGAAAGAGAGAGAAAGCCACACAACAGGGTTTACATACGCTATTCACCTCCAACCTTAGCCAGCCTGGACACAGGCTCATGTACACGCGCCATGGTAAACAGGGTGGCCCCAAGACAAAAGCTGGGGACCTTCCCATGTGGGTCATTACTACTATGCTAGCTTCTGGCCTTAAATGTACCATTTTAATTCATAATGTTTAACTCATGAATGAATTAAAACGGTATTTTGCGTTTGAAAGCAAGTCTTCAAATCCTGTTTGAAGAACAGTTACAAAACTTTTGTTATAGGATTATTACAGAATTATTTCTTTAAAAGTTAAGACAATAAGAGGCCAACAGGTGGAGGCACTGAACTTTCATGTGGCCAACTGTGGTTCGAGTCCTGGACCCAGTGGCTTAAAATGCACGCTGGACACCTGTGTATATGTACCCAAAATCCTGAGAAAAAAAGGGATTACAGCATAGTCATTCCCCCTGGGGGATGATTTCTCACTTTATGTCTTTGGTGAGCATACACACCATATGAAAAAAAACTAAAAAGTTGGACAATGAAGTACAGGTCTAGATCAAACTACTATAGAATCTTCAGGTAGGGATCATGACCACTTTGAAGAAAAGAAAAGACCAGAAATACAAAAAATAGACGAGTGGAAAAATTCATTTTAATTAATAAGAAACTATTATATATTTGGTTTTAAAGAGAACAGGGGATAGCTGGTGGCATGGTGTTTAAGGCAGCTGGACCAAACATGGGTAACTGAACAGTTCTAGTTCTGGACCTGTTGGCTTAAAAACACACCAGGTGCATTTGGTGCTCAAAATCCCAAGAAAAGAATGGAAGAAAAGGGACTATGGTGTGGCCATACCCCCTGCAGGGTGCTTTCTATCTTTCTATCTTTCTCTGGAGAGCACAAGTGCCCGATGGTGGGGGGGAAGGCATGTATCAGGGTCAAACTAAGGAAAGAATTCTTTAAAAGAATGGGAACAAGCCTGTAGCATTATTGTCAAGGCAACTGGACCCCATGTGGCTGACTATGCACTCGTGTCCTGGATCAGCAGCTTGAGAAACACAACAGGTGTGCGTGTATGCCCAAAATCCCCAAAGAGGGTGAAATGGATAAAAAGGGATTAAAGAGAGACTATTCTCCACAGTGGGTTCCACTGTGGGTACTTCACATTTTCCCTCTCTTCTCTGTCTCATCAGTGAGCACTTGAGCCCTCTGACAGACTAAAAGAAGTATTTCTTTTAGGAGAAATAGTTCAGGATGAAGTGACTAGAAGCCTAAAATAAGCACCAGATGAGAAAATTAAGCAATTTTTTACTGACAGGGAGGTGAGTGAAGGAAAGCTAAGTGTTTAATTAAAATAAAATATATATACATCAGTGGGATCTAGTGTATCAAACACAGCATATCCAAGTATTCACATAAAGATCAACTCCTTTGAAGATTAATTTGTGTGGTAATAATTTTTCCTCCACATAACTAAGAAGTCTTATATACTGGCTTCATTAAATATAAAAGCATTTATTGTCATTTAACGTTTTTTTTTTTTTTTTGGAGAGGTTTTCACTACAGGGTGCGTACGCTAGCCAGACAGAAAGAGACAGAGAGGCAGAAAGCGAGAAATCACCTCCTGGGGCTATGGTCATCCCTTCTCCACCATTTTCCTCTTGAGATCTTGGGCACACACGCACACGCGCCTGGAGTGAGTTTTAAGCCACCGGGTCCGGGACGCGAACTGCAGTCGACTACGTGGGAGTCCAGCAACATAGCCATTACGCTAACTGCTGGTTCCCGTCATTTAACTTTTATATATATAAAGTCAAAATGATTTAGGAATCACCTTAGAGTAGTTATTTATTATAAGTAATGAGATCGTTTACCATGTAAATACATGAACATTGTGTAGAAAAGGGTTGGGACTGGCTCTGTGAGCCAAAATGGTCTATTAATTCTTAAATTAACAGGGATGCAATCATCTGACATTAAAGAGCCCAAGATTTTCACCCTGATATATAGTTAAGAAATGTATATAGTTAATAAATTTATGAACAAAAATACATATAAAAGTAGATATACTTACAAAGGTTCTTTTAAATCAAATTTTATAGGAGAGGGTGGTCTCTTTGGCGATTGCCAAAACAAACCTAATAAAAAATACAAATATTATTTTTAATGAATGTAACCAGTAACAAATTACACTAAAATTTCTTTTCAACATTTGCTTATACTTACTGCCATCTTTTAATCGTGTGTCCAGAGGGAAACAGTGAAGAAGTTGAAGAGCCTAAAGGAAAAAAAAAAAATTAAAAATTCACTAGTTAATATTATCTGAGGTAATTTTTTTAAATAAATTTTTTATGTGCAGTTAATATATGCACATACCTCAAAAATAAACACACATTAAAAGATATAAAGCTAATTCTCCCAACTACCTTTGTATTCCACCTGTTTACTATCACTATCTCCCATACTGGAAAAAAATCTCTATTACATTTTTTATTAATTCTTACAGTGTTTTTTTCTTTTTGTACCTCCAGCAAACATGAGTATAAATTGTTCAAATCCTTCTTATATAAATAGTAGCATATTTTACATATAGTTCTACCCTTTTCAAAGAGCTAATCCTTAAGACAAATGAACATGTACTGAGATTTGCTTCAATATCATCTGGGGGTGTGAAACTGTGTAGAAATGTACATGAAACAAGAACATCTATCAGTAAATAACTGTTAAAGCTAGGTGATAGGTAAATGATGATTACAATGAGGTTCATTATACTATTTTCCTCTGCATTTCTATGGATGGACTTCTTTTCTACAATAAAAAAGTTTTTAAAAACCCAGGAAGAACTAAGGAGAGTTTTAAAAGCCTAAAACTAGAGGCCATTAATAAAAAGTACTAAGACAGGATGGGTATAATAATGATTTTTTTTTTAAAAAAGAAGAATTTACTTTATGTGCTGTTAGTAATAACCTAAAGACAGGGTGAGACTGGAGAGAGTGCCAGACATATTTGAGCAACTATAAATAATTGGAAGTAAGAAAAACAGCTAATATTTAGTGATTATTTACATGCCAGACTCCTCGCCACTACTCCATGCATTAAGTACCAATTTATAATCTTCATTTTACAAATGAGGAAAGACAGAATATAATTATAAGATATTAGTACGCTGTCTGGTAAATGCACATGCCCTATAGCAAATTTAAATAATAATAAATAAAATTAATTAAATAAATAAATCTTAAAAAAATGTACAACTGAAAGGCCAACGAGCAGTAGCATGGAAAGAAAATTAGTTATGTGCTTAGCTTGTTCTCAATTTATTTCTAGAATACTTGCTTGAAAGAGAGGAAACATTTCAGGTCAGTGAAATTAAATTGATAATAACTAAATGAGTCAAGGGCAGACCTTTTCTAATGTTCCATAATACATACTTACCTTATGGTTAAAATACTTTTCAAACTTTAATCTTGCCAATTCTACACATTGGGACCAATTTCTAGGTCTTCTACTAAGTAATTTAATAACTTGAAAACAGCCTTCTAAACTGTGTCCATCTTTTATCTTCTAGAATGGGAGAGAAAAGAAAATAAACATACTTTTGATTAAAAACACATATACACATACACACATCTCCAAAATTAGTAGCAAAAGTTTCAAGTGCCAGCTCATATGTTTTATAATTTTGCTTTTTTAATCTCAAGTTCCTTGTTCCCACCTTTCTCTTCTCCCTCTTGTTTTTTGATTTATTTTTGCAAGAGAGGAATAGGCAAAAACAGCACATGAAATTTGAATCCTGAAGCTTCTTATTTCACAATTATCTTGTTTTCCTTGTGATAAGTTATTAGTACCATAAATGAATGTACTGTAGAAAGTGCTACGAATAATATTTGATACTAAAAGTTAGTCTTTTTAATATGAGGTTAAAGAAAAGTAAAGAAACATCACTGAAGTTTCCTTCATTATGAGAGGATTAAATCTGAGAGATTACTGTATACTCCCTAAATTTTCAGCAGAGCACACTTTATTTTCTTTTTCTGGAAAAGCTTAACAAACCTTTTTATTACTTGTACTTTGCTTATCATTATTATCTTATTTTTATTAGGTTGAACCAACTGCTATTTTGTATGACAAATATTGACAATCTCATATAGCCTAATTAATTAAAAAAAAGTAATTTGTGGTATGATTTCAAAATTCCTTATATATAATTTCACTTTTTATATGCAATGAGATTATACATGTCTATGGTGGTACCTTAAAAATAAGATAATAGTGACATGAAGTATTAAGTTTCTATTAAAAGGTAATTAAATTTTACCTGTAAGACTTCTTCTGCAGATTCATAGGTTTGCCAAAATTTATTAAACAATGAAGGCTTATGGGAAAAGGAACTTTCAAACTATAAAGGAAGAAGAAAGTTATAAAAAAAAGCCTGCTTTAAGTTGGAAATACCATCTTTCTTACTTCAAAAAAAACATACTCCTTAAAAAGGAAGTTTTACCTTATCTCTTGCCCACTGTATAGTATGTTCAATAGCAGCTGGAAAAGATTTTAGAGTACAAAATGGTATTTCCTCTTCTGGGGGATCCCGCTAATTTACATAATGACAAAAGATACTTCAGAAAATATAAATTAAAAAATACATAAATAAATATAATCCAACCATACATTTTTATACTTCTGTCTCCAAAGTAATAAGAAAAGGTTCATTCTTTTGAAATCTGTTGCTAGCAGAGTGCAGTGACACACATGAATCCTACCATTGTTTAACATCTATGTATTCATTTGGCACATCAAGAAGTACTCATGGTAGACCATTATATAGAATTCACTTTTTTTTTTCCCCAAAATCAAGATAACATTCACAATTTCTTTTTTTTCTTTTTTAAAGAGATATTTTTTGCAATAGGGTGTGAGCACTCGCCAGAGAGACAGAGACAGACAGAAAGCAAATCACATTCTGGGGGTGATGGCAACTCTGCAATTCCTTCTCCTCCATTCTCCTCTCGGAAGTTTGAGTATGCACGCAAATACTCCTGGTGTGAGTTTTAAGCCACCGGGACTGAGTCTTGAACCGCTGTCAAATACACAGGAGTCCTGTGACTTAACCATTATACTATCTGCTTGTCCCAACGTTTACAACTTTTTTCTTTTCCCCTTTTTTTTCAAAGAAAGATTTTTGTCATAGGGCATGTGAACTTGCCAGAGAAAGATACAGAGACAGTAAGCAAAAAAATCACCCCCCATGGGGATGACCACACCGCAATCCCATCTCCTCCATTCTCCTCTTGGGATTTTGGGCACACATGCACATGCGTTCAGTATGAATTTCAAGTCTTCAGGTATGATACTTGAACAGTGATGGTCAGCCATGTGGAAGTCCAGTGATGTAACCATTACACCATCTGCTTGAACTTTTTTTTTTACATATTATGACTACAATTATTTCCTAAGCCAGTGATATCAACTTTAGCAATATCTCAAAATCACTTGTAGGGTTATAAAGTTACATGTGCAGTAACTATATAGAATATATGTTTATAGATAGCTTGGTTCCACCAATGCACAAGCAAAGTCTTCAGTATGATTTTGGGTGATGACAGTGTTTTCACTTTGATCAAGTTTCATACGTATTTCTGAAAATGTATGATAAGGGTGCAAATTTCTAATGAGAATAAACATTAGATATGAATTAACATGATCAAACATGATTCAAAATGATTAGACTTGCTTTCTTTATTCCTTATACACCAGCAAATATCAAACATACGAAAATTAGAACATCGCAGAATGAATATAATTTTGTCTTTGTTGATCGTTCTATTCTTGATCTAATTGTTGAATTGTTCTGACTTATCAAGCAATCTTAAAACTCAAAGGTTGTTAGAAAATTAATTAACCAATTCTGAGAAGCTAATAGTGAGCACAAGAAAAATACTCCAGAAAGGTGAACTCAAAATTTCAATTAAAAAAAAAAAATTCAATTATACTTAAAAAAAAGTACATTCACATATGAATGAACATCACTAGCAGAGCAAAAACAGAAGGATTAGGAAAGCTGAATCAAATTTGACTGATGAAGGCAAAAATAGACATAAGGAAGAAACATTTACTTCAGAATATTGATTGACTTACGTGACTATTGTAAGACTCAGTCAAATGAGGTACAATAACTTCAGTGTGTCCCTTAGTACCCATTGTTCCAGAATCTAAGAGAGGTCTTAGATTGGCTAAGCAACGGCTATTAAAAAAGATAATAGATAACAAACATAAATGCGAGTAATAATAAAATGTGAGCAAATGACAACCTACCATTTTCTATTGACCACTGATTATTCCATACTTGCCTACCTGCCAAATATTGCTGCCCAATCTAGTAATTTCTGTCTCTCCTTTCTACTATAGCAAATACTGGGCTTTTCTAAGCTTTATTTCAAGTTTAATTCTTAAATGTGTTATCTTTTTTTCTCTTGCTTTCTCTTGCTTCTTTAGTTATTTTCTCTTTTTTAAAAAAATGAGTTTATTTATTCCAAGACAGATAGGGACACCCCCCTACAGGGTCTTCAAACTATAATAAACCCCTGGACTCAGGCAGCCAGAATCATGAACATGCATATACACATGAATATCAGAAAATGAACCCGGGACCTTCCCATGTAGGTTGAGCATTGTAGAGTGTTAGTTTACCACTGTGCCAGCAGATGGCCCATTTTTTGGTTACTTTCTGACTTTAAGTTCTACCCTAGTATGTTTTCTTTTTTTGGAGAGGTTTTTGCTATAGGGCACATATGCTCGCCAGAAATCACCCCCCGGGGGGATGGCCACGCCGCAATCCCTTCTCCTCCATTCTCCTCTCAGGACCTTGGGCATGCACGTACATGTGCCCGGCATGAGACTAAGCCACTGGGTCCGGGACTTAAACTGGGGTCGACTACATGGGAGTCCAGTGACATAGCCATTACATCAATTGCTGGTCACTCAATGTTTTCTTTACTCCAAACAATATTAACCTTTTTTCTCAAGTGTTAAGTTTTGCTCTGTTATTTTCTGCTCTAGCACTCTATATTAAGGTATCATATAAAGACATAAGAAAGATTACATAGAGTGCAACACAGTCACCCATTCATCTACTTATTAAACAAAAATTTACTGAAAGACATCATGTGATAGGTACTGAGGAAATAGTGCTGGAAAATAAATAGTCCCTGGATTAGTGATTCAATGAGGAAACCAACATTAAATAAATATACATATCAATAAAAATCAGTACCAGTAGAGAAAAAATAGAGTGCTGTGAAAGAGTTCCATAAAAGGATCTAATTTAGAATTTGGGTGTTAAAGAATTTCAGTTTGAAAAAGGACATTTACAGCTGAAACTGAAAGGATGAAAAAAAAGAAACTATATATGAACAGCAGGTATGTTTGGAGTCAGGAGTTTTGGAGCAAGAGAAATAGAACTTCTTGACACTGAAAAACAGTATGTGCAAGTAACTACGGTTAAAAAGTGCTAAATACCTTATAAGAACTGAAAGCAGACAAATGTAGCTAGAATAAGGGGAGTCAGAAAGATCAGGTAAATTTTAAGTTATGGTGGTGGGTACTCCATGAAAATTGTCTAGGCTATGTTACAGATTTTGAATTTTATCCTAAAATCATGGCATATAATCAAAGGGTTGGATTTGAGGAGTACTACGAAAGAAATATAAAGAATAGTCAAAAAATCTTGTATCTTTTCAATATGTATGTGTGGGAAATAGAAGTGAAAATAAAAGGTCATTCTTCAAGCTGGAATTTCAAGAACATACCTGTCTACATATCTCCTGGCTTCCACGTTATCTAATGCTGTGATAATTATATCCTGTTTAGTATAGAACTCGTCATTGTAAATGGTCTCAGTGGCTGGACACACTTTATTCAAGTGCGCATCTATCTTTATTTGTGGATTGATTTTCAGAGTAGCATCTGCAGCAGTATAGCTTTTAGGTTTCTAAATAACAAAAACAGAAGGAATTCATGTTAAACCAAAGACGACGGACTATGACTGAACTTACACAATCTTCTAACTCTGGGGTTCATATATGTAGTCAGAGTAAGGCCAATTTTCATTTTTGGCTTTGTGGAAACTACATGTATTTACTATATGTATTTAACAATACACATTACTCTGAAAAATTTACATAATACTAATAAAAATGTAAAAAACCTTTATTTCTTAGCTTAAGTGCTTTCAAGTTCTCACAATAATATAAGTCTAATAACAAGCATGTTTTGCTCTAGCAATGATGTTTAACTTAATAAATGCCTAAAAGTTGTTGACTACATTGTGTATAATAATGGAGATCCAGACTCTGCAGAAAATAAACTCTCAGAGGTATGGGAGTTAATACTTTAGTTACTATTTCTTTTTTAAGAGAGATTTTTATACAGGGTCTGTACACTCAATGGAGAGAGAGAGAGAGAGAGAGAGAGAGAGAGGTAAAGATAGAAAACAATAAATCAACCCCGGTTGGGGGTGACCATGCCGCAATCCCTTCTCCAATATCCTCTTGGGATTATGGGCATGCATGCATGCACATGGACCTGGCGTGAGTTTTTTTGTTTGTTTTTTATAAAGAGATTTTTGCTATAGGGTGCAGGAGCTCACTGGAAAGATAGACTGAGAGACAGAAAGCAAAAAATTACCACGTAGGGAGGATGGCCACAATCCCTTCTCCTTTATTCTCCTTTTGGGATTTTGAGCACATGCACACACACTTGCTTGGCCTGAATTTCAAGCCTCTGGGCACAGGACTCACACCATGGTTGACCATGTGGGAGTCCAGCAAGATAACCATTACACCATCTGCTGGTCCTTTGACATGAGTTTTATTTATTTATTTTAAAAATATTTTATGTAACTTTTATTTATCTATTTATTTATTAATGTGACAGAGAGAGAAAGCAAGCCGCCAGGTCCGGTACTTGAACCACAGTTGGCCATGTGGAGTTCAGTAACCCCAACCACCATGCCACTTGCCAGCCCCTCGGTGTGAGTTTTAAGTCGTTGGGTCTGGGACTCAAACTGTGCCGGACCATGTGAGAGTCCAGGGCTGTAACCATTAACACCATCTGCTGGTCCCATGATTACTAAACTCTTTTAAAATTGTTACTATTTCTGGATGAAAATATTTTCAGAAATTACTATTTATGTTTCAGTCTTCTAAAAGGTATATTAAGTATAATACATTATTTCTTTCCTTAAAGATACAGTTATTTTCTTTTCTTAAAGTTTGTTTATATCTATGGCCAGCAAGTGGCGTGGTGGTTAAGGCACTGGACTCCCACATGGCTAACCAAGGTTCTAGCCTCCACCTGGCCACTTGAAAATCACACTGGGTGCATGTGCATGCGTGCCCAAAATCCTAAGAGAAGACTAGAGGAGAAGGAATTAACTGTAGCATAGCCATCCCTCTTGGGGAGACAATTTCTCACTTTCCTTCTTTCTCTCTCTCTCTCTCTCTCTGGCAAGCGCATGCACTCTTGCACTAGAAAGAAAGAAAGAAAGAAAGAAAGAAAGAAAGAAAGAAAGAAAGAAAGAATTTCTCTCTTCCATGAAAGAAAGACACATCTTCCATAGCATCTTCATATTAAGATCCTACCCTAGCCTTAGCAAGCCAGGATTCTCTCTCTCTCTCTCTCTGGCAAGCGCATGCACTCTTGCACTAGAAAGAAAGAAAGAAAGAAAGAAAGAAAGAAAGAAAGAAAGAAAGAAAGAAAGAAAGAAAGAAAGAAAGAAAGAAAGAAAGAAAGAATTTCTCTCTTCCATGAAAGAAAGACACATCTTCCATAGCATCTTCATATTAAGATCCTACCCTAGCCTTAGCAAGCCAGGATCATATATATATAGGGAGGCCTGGTACGTGAAGTAAAGACCCTGCAATATGGCCCCAACACTGTAGAACACTGAGCCACAACAGCAGGACCCATTATTTTCTATTTATAAAAATGGAAACTCTCTTTGTTTTTGTAAATATAATAATTTAATCTTGGGACAGAATAGCAACATACCTGTATGTGATGAGGACGAAAAAGGAACTGTCTGTTTAAGTTGGATTTTTCTATCAAGTCAGGGTCTGTAACTGTAACCTAATATCAAGGAAAAAATGGGTGAAATAACACAACAGATAGTTTATGTTGCTTTTCTCAGTATGACTAAAGTAATCCCCGCAAATTATTCTGAATTATTCTGCCTGATAAATGTTGTTATACAAATATTTCAAAAGTTGCCAATATTATTATTTATGTTATACTTAATTATAATTAATGTTTGCCCAAGGATCATGTCAAGATAGTTGAACCCAATTAAAATCCCTGTCCAAAAATATTTTTCTAATTATAAATAGCAACACAGAAGTTAAAAGTATCATTATCTTTTTTGTACTATGTAATGGATTACCCCAAAACAGCTAGCTCTTCTAAACTAATAATCTCGGCTATTTTGGGAAGAATGCTTGCATGTTTCGATTTGAAAGAAACTGGCTAAAACAGAGGTCCACAAACTATAGGGGATGCTGCTTGCTTTTTGTACCTAAAATTTTACTAGAACACTGTCATGTCATTTGTTTAAAGTATTGTCTACGGATATTTTCATGCTCTAAGAGCAAAGTTGGGTAGTTGAGAAAAAGATGTACAGTCTATAGCCTAAAATAGTCTGGTCTTTTTTTTTTTTTAATGGACTTGATTCCCAAATCCTCCAGACGCCAGTATTTTTTGCCACAGGGCAGATACAGCACACTCTTTGTCTGGTTTTTAATAAAATGTTTGCAGATTCCCATTACAAAGGATATAAGAAGAAAGTAAACAGACCTAAGACATTCTGGAGAATATTCAACATACTGGTCACTTAAGTTAGTATTTTTAAATAAGATTTGCCTGGGTGTAGTATTTCTCAGACTCTGTTCCAACTGTTAGATGTTGACTCACAACTCAAACACATTCATTTTTCTTTCAGATACTATTTTCCTGGTATTTTCAACCCTTCTATGTAATTATATGTTAGGGTGCATCTTTTTTATCTTGAAGTTTTAAAAAGCCAAGTAGAAACTATCTTTTAACAAAAAAGTTTAATCAGTTTATAGCTGCCATGATTGGGACCAGTAGGGGGTTACACTGATGGACTCCCACCAGCCATGTTTGAGTCCCAGACCCAGTGGCTTGAAACTCATACTGGATACTGGACAGACTGTACGTGTGTGCTCAAAATCCCAAGAGAATGGAGGCGTGGGGGCTGTGGTGTGGCTATGCCCAATGGGAAGTGATTTCTCACTTTCTGTTTCTCTTCTCTCTGGTAAGTACACACGCCCTATAACAAAAATCTCTCCTAAAAAACAAAACAAAACAAAACAAACAAACAAAAAACAAACACAACCACCATAATGGCTATATTTACTAATACAAGGCTTTTAGCTTATCTTCAATCTCTCCAAATCCCACTTTTTATTCCCCCAATTTTTGCCTTCAACTGGACCAACATAATTTTTTTTTTGATTACCATTTCCCAGTCTCTACTAAAACGGTTTAGAAGTTAAATGTCTTGGGATCAGCAGTTGGTGTAGTGGCTATGTCACTGGACTCCCACATAGCTGACCGCGGTTCGAGTCCCAGGCACGGAGGCTTAGACTCACGATGGGTGCGTGAGTGTGCGTGCCCAAGATCCTGAGAGAATAATGAAGGAGAAGGGATTGTGGCATGGCCATCCCCTCTGGGGGAGGGGGGGTGATTTCTCGCTTTCTCTCTCTCTGTCTTTCTGGAGAGCGCATGCACCCTATAGCAACCCCTTCCCTGCAAAAAAAGTTAAATGCCTTTTTTTAAATTTTAATTTTTGTCAGAAGGCACCTGTACTTGCTAGAGAGAGAAAGAGAGAGAAAAAGAAAGTGAGAAAGCACCTGCCTCTTCTCCCAATGAGGTATGGTTATACTGCAATCCCTTCTCCTCAGTCTCTTCCTTCTATGGGATTTTGGGCACACAGACACACATGCCTTCTGTTTTTCAAGCTGCCAGATCTGGGACTCGAATCATACTGTCAGCAATGTGGGATCCAGCTGCCTTAACTGCCACATCACAGCTGGCCCTAAATGTCTATTTTTATGTCATTATCCTCAAAATTTTAATATGTACATGTGACTTAAGTGTTAAAGTTAATTAAAATCTCTGTCCTCCTAAAATTTGAGGATAGATGAACTATTTAATTTACACTTCTATATTCTACTTCCCATAATATCAATGGAACAAACAACATTCTAGTTACTCTTTTTGTAACTATCCCACTCCAAAATTAGTCATTGTTATAGTTAAAAGTTTTAAAATGAATGCTTATTTACATCTAAAAATGTTGACAAAAGCCTCTGCTTACTTATCATGTACTGCCCACATTATCTAATAGTTCTTGCAGGTACCAATAAATGATATCTTTCATTTTACTTCTCGTGTATTGTTACTTTGCCCTCCCAATTTCAAAATAATTCAGTGAATACAGAAATTTAGGTCAATAGTAATTTTCCTTTGCACTATGAAGAGATGATTCTATTCTCTTCTAACATTTATTGCTGAGAAGACTATTAAGCTATGTATCTTTGCCTTCGTTTCAGACTAGTTTACCTTTAGAATGTGAACAGTTGTCTTCCTTCAACTCTGGGAACTTAGGTCATTATCCCTGGCACATACATTACTTCCTCTCCATTAATTTTCTTCTCTCTGGAAATTCTACAACACTTGGATCTCCTCCCATGTTGGGGCACCATTCACTAATACCACTTTTGGAGGAAAAAACTGACTTCCTGATTTCTAGGTATGTCTGTTTCCATTATCCAGCAATATTTTACTCTTTGTGGTTTTGTAGGCTTCTCATTCCACCCATCCCTTAGAATGGACAAAACCAGAAAGGGAATGTACCCTCTTTCATTAACAAAAGAAGTCGATCTGCACTATACTGTGGGTACTCAGATAAACCTTCAACATATGTTAATTCTCAGTTATGTCTGACTTTAAGTTTACTAGTTACACAAAAACTTTTATTTATATTTTTATATAAATTCCACTCTCTTGTTTTTTCTTGTTCCTATTTCTCTTTCACTTTCATCTTTATTTTTCTTTACTAAGGTTTTTGCCATAGGGTGTGTGCACTAACTGGAGAGACAGACACATAAGAGGGATAGTGAGAAATCACCTCCCAGGGGGGATCTTTGATTATTTTTAACTTTAAAGTCTGTTCTACTTATTGGTAACACTTTTATTATCCACAGTTCTTTGTTTTTTTTATAAGAGGTTTTTGTCTTAGGGCGCAGGTGCTCAAAAAAGTGAGAAATCACCTCCTAGGGGGATGGTCCTACCACAATCCCTTCTCCTCTCGGGATCTTGGGCATGCACACACACGCCTGGCATGATTTTCAAGCCACAGGGTCCGGGACTGGAACTGCTGTTGACCACACGGGAATCTAGTGAAGTAACCATTACACCACCTGCTGGCCCCTATCTATAGATCTTAATGAACTAATTCTTCTATTTGTCTTGGTTGATGCTTCTATGAGGGGTTTCCTTTTTAGTAGATTGTCATTTTTTAATGTGAATGGTCTCAAATTAATACTGATTTCTTTCTTTCTTTTTTTTGGCATGTATGTGTAGTTCAATGTGCTCTGTGTTATATCACTATGCTACAGTTTTCCACTTACTTTTACTCAGGGTTCTGAAGGTTTCAGTGGTCCTAAATTTGTTCCTGCTTAAAGTTTTTACAAGGTATAATTTTGGACCACAAACACCAGTGAGTTTATGCTCTAAATTTCAACTTCTCATGAGTGACAACCCCCTTTCCCCCCCCCTTTTTTTTTTACTTAAGGTTTTGGACATTCAATATACAGACACTAGTACTAATGGCTTTTATCTCAAGATTTACTTTCTTGGTTCCTGGAACCTGGGAATTTCTCTTTCCAGCTTGGGTATGTATACCTAAACTTAAAAAAACAATTTTTGTCAACATTAACGTATCTTATTTTTTTTGGAGAGGTTTTTGCTATAGGGCACGTGTGCTCATCAGACAGATAAAAAGCAAGAAATCACCCTCGAGGGGGATGGCCACTTTGCAATCCCATCTCCTCCATTCTCTTTTTGGGATTTTGGGCACGCATGTACTCATGCCTGGTCTGAGTTTAAACCACCAGGTGCGGGACTTGAACCATGGTCGACTACATGGGAGTCCAGTGACGTAGCCATTACGTCACTTGCTGCTCCCAAAGTCAGTAGGTTTCTTTACTACAATTCTTTTCCTGACCTTTATACAGGGATTTCATATGAATTCTCAAGGAAAGTATTCAGGTGATCCCAAACTTAGGTAACCGTTCATTCATTCATTTATTTATTTTAAAGGAATATGTTTTAAAACCACCAGAACTAATGGCAGTGTGAAAAATAATTTAGAAAATTATTTTCTAAAATAATTTTTATTTTGGAAATAAAATAGGTTGGTCAGCCTGTGGGTTGGTGATTAAGGATGGTACAGCTGAATCCCCAGACATGGCAGCTGAAGAACTGCACCAGGTGCACATGTGTACCCCATATCCTGAGAGGACAGAGAAATGGAGAAGAGACTGTGAAGTGATCATGCCCCACGGGAAGTGTTTTCTTGCTTTTTCCCCTGGAGCCCCCAAACCTTCTGGGAATTAAAAAAAAAAAAAAAAAAAACCAACAAAAAACAAAAAGATGGAGCAAGAATGATATAATCGTAGAACATCTACCTGCAGTTATGAAAGTAATGAATGCCCTTTTAAATGAGATCAGCCAAATTTAACAAATTATAAAAATGTAAACTCTCAGATACATTTTAGTCATTTAATTAGTCACCATGATAAATTTATAAAATTATTAATGGCAGTTAGTTTTCATCTTAAAGGTAAAACAGCAATAATAAAATATATTTTATTTAACTATATAACATGGCTTTGCAATCAACTCACATTTATATTCTTAAGAATTCAAACTGTGGGGCCAGCAGGTGGTGTGGTGGTTAAGGTGCTGGACTCCCATATAGCCAGTCACGGTTTGAATCCTGGACCTGGCAGCTTGTTCTCTCTCTCTCCACCCCCCTCTCTGGTGAGTGCAAATACTACTACTAATAATTGAAGTTAAATAAATCTTTTTAAAAAGAATTCAAACTGTATACCACAGTTTACATAGTTTTTACAAATTTTGTTACTCATCAACTGAAACTACATTTGAGTACTCTGAAACTTTGTAATGTTAGCTGTTCTCATCTTAAAGACTTGCCAATTAACAACAAAAGCAATAAGGGTAATGTGTTTAATAGTCTGTAAAGCCTTTCACATTTGATATTCGTAATACCATCAGTGAAATAGTACAGACTTTATTTTCACAGTACTGAAGAAACAGAGGAGCAGAGAATCTGCTGTAATGTCACGTGACTTTGAAAAAGGGGTCAGAGAATAATCATAATTTCTCATTTCAAATTTAATGCCTTATTCTCAAAAGTTGACAATTCAGATCTACCCAGTCAAATACAGTTCAAAAACCGACAACAGAAATACAAAGTTTTAACTTTCAAGGACTTACCATTCCCTTCTCTTTGCCTGTACCAACACCAAGTAAAGCAAAATTTTTTAACATTTCACAGCCTATGGCTCCACATCCTACCTATGGAGAAAAATTACAGAGATTAAATAAAACTAAAAGTCTGTTTACTAAAGAGTAATTTTACCTTAATGTTCTTTAAAGGCTAGGTTATGATAAACACATAATGTTTAAAATGGCTTGAACATTTGTGATTAATTTTATTTTAAAATATTTAACAGGCTTATTGTAAGTGTTTCAATTAAAGGGGAAAAGTATAAACCAAACAAGAAAAAGCATGATACCTGGAGACTTCAAAAAGTTCATAGAAAAATAAAATAAAAGAATAACTTCATTTGGACCAGCCCATAACCTGGTGGTTAAGGCAGCTTTAGTGCATATGCCCAACGACTTGGAAAAACATGCTGAGCACATATGGATGGATGCCCAAGATCCATAAAGAAGAGAAAGATGGAGGAGAAGAGACTGTGGGATGACTATCCTCATTGTGACTTGCTTTCTCATTTCCTGTCTCTCTCTTTTTGGCCAGTACACCTGACTTCTGGCAACATAAAAAAAAATAATAAAAGTATAACTTTACATTGGTGCAAAAAAATTCTGAAATGCATGCAAAGTCTTTTTTACAATATGTATTTTCCATAAACGCTTTGAAGACTCCTCGTATTTACCATTCTTTTAAACAGAAGACTAAAAAAAATCCCAAAGGCCAAACAGTGAGCTAATTTTCTATATAAGACAGAATCAAACAGCACAAAACATCATTACATTTTTATAAAAACAATTCTTGATTTTTAGACATTTCTAAAAACTCATTTGATGGACAGGACTATTCTAAGACTTCCCTACTGTCAGTTTTAGGTAAAAACTGATCATCAAAAACTGACTGATGGTAGCGTCTGTGTGTGTGTGTGTGTGTGTGTGTGTGTGTGTATGTGTGTGTGTATGTGAAAGCTCAGTGATAGCTGCAGATTTTCCAAACACTTAAAAAATGATTACTAAAACCAGCAGTATTTTCATGACTGATTATAATAATAAAAGAAAACAAGAAAAAAAATTATGCTATTGGCTAAAACTTCCCTGCCAATACACTAAGACATTTATGAAAGACAAAATACACCTACTTCTTCATTTGGTAAGAAAAAAAAAGTTAAAACCCTCCAACTTATAATGTATTTCCAGAAAATCACTTAATGTTCAAAATGATCATACTCACACTTTAATTTTGAACATATTAATTCTTCAAATGACAGGCTAGCAAACTTTCGTAAAGGGCCAGATAGAAAATATTTTCAGCTATCCAGTCCACGTAGTGTCTGTCCTAACTACTTACTTAGACTTTACGCACTGAGACTCAGATATGCTTAAATTACCTTGATTATAAACAGCAGGAGTTTGAATGTGTTATTTACTACCATCATTATCATACTTACTAGGAAAATATTCAAATTTTGTAGCTTCTGACACAAAGTGTCTCCAATGCAGGCTCGTAAGGCATCATATCTGTCTCCTCTGAAGAAATTGTTCACCATGAAAGCAGAAAGGCATAAAATAGAAAGATTAGTTTCATTATTAATACCAATTTAAAGATTTACTTTAAAAGAGAATGTTCTAAGAGTTTTCCCTAACCTATTAAACTATTTTATTTGAACAAGACCTCATAAATCAGTTTTCCTTCCTCCATTCAACCAGATATTACAAGTATAAATGACTTCAGTGACAGTGATTTCAGTCAATCTAGAAACAAACTGTTTTTCTTTATTATGACAGTGTGTGTGTAACACGTATACACAAGACAAAGAAAAGAGTGGGGAGGAACACTTTCCACAAAGTCTGGTCATGCTATGATCCCCTTCTTCTAGTGCTTCAGCCCAATAGATCTTAGATACTCTGTGTTGGCCTGAAAAAAATTTCTAACTCAGAGATCTTTAAGAAAAGTCCTTAGGGACCAGCAGGTAGGAAAATGGTTATGTCGCTGGATTTCCACATAGTCTACTGCATTTTAAGTCTCAGACCAGGTGGCTTAAAACTCATGCTGGGAGTATGTGTATGAGTGCCCAAAATTCCAAGAGGAGAATGGAGAAGGAATTGCAGTGTGGCTCATTCACCCAGGAAGGGTGATTTCTCACTTTGTCTCTCTCTGTCTCTCCAGCCAGCACATGTGCCCTATAGCAAAAAATCTTTTTTCTTTTTTAAAAAAAATAAAAATAAAAAAAGGAAGACCTTTGACTTTGAGGAACTTATGGATGAGCATTTGAGTTGTGAATCCGTTTAAACAGAAGGCAAAACTTCAGGTTATGTGTATTTTATGGAGAATAAATCTCTAAACTTCTATTAGATTCTCAAAGAGATTTGTGACCCAAAAAGGTGAAGAATGACTGAGAAAAATGTTGAAGACAGTGATCTTTTTTTCTAAATCTGGTATCATTATGGTATTACTTTTTTTGTTTTGCCACAGGGAGTGTGCACTCACCAGAGACACAAAAAGACAAAGTGAGAAATCACTCCTCAAGGAAGATGGCCATGCCGCAATTCCTTCTCCTCTAGTCACCTTTTGGGATTTGGGGCATACACTACACATGCACCTGGAATGAGTTTTTTTTTTTTTTTTTTGGAGAGGTTTTTTGCTATAGGGCGCGTGCGCTCGCCAGCCAGACAGAGAGACATAGAGACAGAGAGAGAGAAATCACCCCCCAGGGGGGATGGTCACGCCGCAATCCCTTCTCCTCCATTCTCCTCTCGAGATGTTGGGCACGCACGCACATGCACCTGGCGTGAGTTTTAAGCCACCGGGTCCAGGACGTGAACCGCGGTTGACTACGTGGGAGTCCAGCAACATAGCCATTACGCTAACTGCTGGTTCCCAGCACCTGGCATGAATTTTAAGCCACCAGGATCTGGGACTTGAACTGAGGTCGACTATGTGGGTGGGAGTCCAGCAACATAACCATTATGCCATCTGCTGGTTCCCATTATGGTATTTTTATAAATTGCCAGACAATGTGTGCATTCACAAGAAAGGGTGAGAGAGAGAGACAGGTAGAGAGCGAGCAGCTGAGAAAGTACTCCTCTACAGCACATAGTCATGCGGCAATCAATCTCTCTCCCCATTTCTCCTTCTGATCAGGATTTAAGACATGAATGTACAGGTGCACAGTGTGTTTTTTGGACCTCTGGGGCCAGGATTCGAACCATGGTTGGACATGCAGGACTCTATGCTATAGCACTGAATTACTGCAGTATGAGCTGGCCCTGAAGTTCACTTATTTTATTCATGATAGAGATCATTTGCATGTGAGAGACAGAGAGACAGAGACTCTCAACAGGGTCTCCTCACAGAGTGATTCCCTACCTTTGGCCCTCCAGGCTTGCAAGGATCTTGGGTACACGCATGCATCTGGCACATTTTCAAGCTGGCCTGGGGATCTATACCTGTAGTTGCCTATGTGGCTTCTCACACTGCAGTCCAGCTGGCCACCAAATTGGGCCCATTATGGTATTCTGAATGCTAATTGTTCTCTTGGTATAAAGTTTAAAACTTTATATTCAGGCCAATTTAAATCTGAGGTGTGTCCTGGCATGTTCAGTGAAGCTATGCTCTAAACTCTTATCTTCTAGACTCCCAAAACACTCAGATAAAAAGCCATTTTAAATCTGTGATATTCAGGGAAGCTATGCTCAAAACTCCATATTCAAGACTCCTGAAACACTCAGACAAGTCTCCACACACAGAGTGGCCACAGTAGCCAAGCATCTGAATACTTTTAGGTTCACTGATATCCACAATGCATAGTGATCCTCCTGCTTTAAGGAACTTATTTTATAAATCTGCACTCATAATCACTTTCTGTGGATACCATGTTGCCAAACACCATAGAGATATTGTCACAGAATGACCAGAAACTACTGCAGAGGCACAAGAAATTTGAGAAACCAAGAAAATATCTTTACCTAAGGGAAAAGAACAATCCTTTATCATCCACAGACAGTATGACAGAACTCGTGAAAATATTTGATAGAGAATTCAGAATATTCACAGTGACAAAACTAAACAAGATGCAAGAGCTGAGAGACAAAAACTCCAGAAAATGCAGGAGGAAAGAGACAACAAGTTCCAGGAGGAGAGAAAGTTCTTGCACGATCTGAAAAAGGAAATATACACCATGAAAAGGAATCAAATGGAGCTTTTAGAGATGGAGGCTGCAATACAGGAAATCAAAACCTCCCTTGAAAGTATTAAAAGCAGATTAGTCCATGCATAAAAACAAATCTCAGATATTGAAGGCAAAACCTCTGACCTAGAAAAAAACAACCCAAAAAACAAAGAAAATAACAAAAAAAATAAGAATACTGTATAACAAATAGTAGATACTATTAAGTGCCCAAACATTCAGATAATTGGTATTCCAGAAGGTGAAGAAACAAATAAGGGCATTGATAATCTATTCCATGGAATCCTGGAAGAAAACTTTGCAAATCTAAAGAGGCATTCCAACATCCAGACCCAAGAAATACAAAGGATCCCTAATAGAAACAAACCAAGAAGATCTTCTCCAAAGCACATCATAGAAAGATTGGCAAAATCCACAAAGACAAGATACTACAATTGGCAAGAGAGAAGCATCAGGTTACTTATCAAGGTTATCCCATCAGGCTAACATCAGACCTCTCATCAGAAACAGTGCGAGCAAGGAAATAATGGGGAAATATATTCACAGTGCTAAGTGAAAAACAGTTTCAACCAAGAATACTATACCTGGCAAGATTATCCTTCATATGGGAAGAAAAGATAAAAATATTCTCAGATAAACAAAACCTGAAAGAATATACCAACACCAGATCAGCGCTTCAATAAGTTCTGAAAGGAGTACTTTACCAGGAAAACTAAAGATATATACAGAAATAAGAGAACAGGGGACCAGCAGTTGGTGTAATGGCTATGTTACTGGACTCTCATGTAGTCGAGTGTGGTTCGAGTCTCAGACCCGGTGGCTTAAACTCATGCTGGGCACGTGTGCATGCGTGCCCAATATCCCGAGAGGAGAGTGAAGGAGAAGGGATTGTGGTGTGTGATTTCTCGCTTTCTGTCTGTCTCTGTCTTTCTGGCAAGCGCATATGCCCTACAAAAATAAACCTCTCCACCCCGTTCCCCCAAAAAAGAGAGAGAACAAAAAGCAACCAAGAAAACAACCAACTTAATGCCAGGGACAAGAAATATCAATAATAACATTGAATGCTAACTTCCAGGATTTAAATGGAAAGATTGGACCATAGTAACACTGCAAATTCAACAGATGAGAGATTAATTATGTAAGACTGAACTGGTGAAACAGAATTTTATTACTTTTGAGTAAAACATTATTGACTTTTTTCTCTACTATGCTTTGTTTTCTTTTGAGCTGCTGATAGGTTCATTAATTTGTTAAAATGTTTCTTGTTTATTTGTTTCTTTGAATGGAAACAGGAACTTTTCTCCCTTCCTAGCCACTCTGGAATTGAAAATATTTGGGAGTATTCTTACTGTGTGGCAGAAGGGTTATTTGCATAAGTTCAATAATACCTGTTGTCTTGAATCAGAAATTGGAAATACTCGTTATTGGACAGGCCTTTGACTGGAATGTCATTATCTGAAGATTAAACCAGAAAACTATGACTTAAGGTAGATCTCAAATAAGTCAATACAAGCTCTTGGAAAGATGACCTGGTACCATAAACAGTTCTGCCTGGCAGAGAGGATTAGAGAAGCTATATGAAAGAATTCGTACCATAAAATAACCTGGACTTTTCCAGCCCAGCTTTGTAATCAGAGATTGCAAAAGAGCAGCCACAACCAGAGGATTATTTTGAGGAAGGCACTGAAGAAATAAAAAGAGACTGATCTTTGCTATCAGATGGTATAACACAGAATACTTGGTAGGCAGAGCTGAGCTTGGAAAGTTCATGAGTGAATTTTGTGCTGGGTGTTTGCTTTTCAACAGACCTGTAAATATTTTCTCAAAGATATTTCAAACCATACTGTCTCTGTTGTTATAGAGTCACAAAGTTAATAACAAATATTTTGAATATTATCTTCAAAATTCAGTTTTTTGAAATTTTAAAGTTGTTTATTAACTGTTAAGAACTATAGAGTATGAGTAAAAAGTTTTGATATGTAAAGTAAATGTTTGTGGGAAAACGTGAAAAATAAATAAATGATTAAAAGGCAACTTTATATTCATTATGGATCAAGTGGTAAAGAGATATGGGATTATGAGGAAACGTGAGATGATCTCTAAGTAAAGAAACACTTGAGAAGTAAAAGAGTTAGGGGACAATATATCTAAAACAAATGTATATTTAGACAAAAAATTTCAATCTGTTTCCTTCTTATAAACATACAATTAGGAAAAGTAACAAAAAATTCAGTATTACCTTGGGAGAAACTCTTCACATTCATGTTTCCCTAGGAATTCGACAACATCTGCTGCTTCAAGATATAACTTAAAGTAAAAGATTAACAGACAAAATTTACCATGTATAAAATTCAATTACTAGAAAAAGAAACTCTACTTTTATACAGGTATTTAATAAACATTAAGAGAAAAACACATTTAAAAAAATGTCAATTAGGAATAAAATATTTTAAAAATACAGTTTTAAAAAATACAATATACATTCCTATATTCTCTCATTAAAATAATGGTAAAACCTGAAAAAAATTTTAAAAGATATATAATTTGATTTATGTCACTCAGCCATTCTAGAAATGGTATAGTCTAAACTTAAAATGAAATTTCACTGCTAAATCTATTTTTCATAACTACATAAAAACTCTGGAAGCCCCATTCCATTTCAGCTACATTTGAGTAAGTTAATTTGATAACTTTTTTAAAAGAAAGTACCTACACTGTATTTATTTTTGAGCTTGGATACATTACATATCTCAGCTAGAACTCTGTTATATAAGGAATAATCTAGAAAGCCATAATTTTAGCCTTTCAAAAAATAGCAAACATGGGGCTAGCTGGTGGTGTAGTGTTTGAGTCACTGGACTCCCACATGGCTGAATGCAGCTTACATCCCGGACCCAGCGGCTTGAAAGTCATGCCAGTACATGTGCATGAATGTCCAAAATCCTGGGAGAAGGAATTGTGGCATGGCCATCCCTCCCAGGGGGTGATTTCTAACTCTCTCTGTCTCTCTGGTGAGTGCATGCAACCTATAGCAAAAACCTCTCCCTTAAAAAATAAAAAAGCAAACAGAATTAGCTAAAGTTAATTAAAAAAAAAAAAAAAAACAAGAACCAAGTTCCACTCTAATTTTTACTTAAAGTAACACGTGTGACTGAATTTAAACCATACTAAATTACAAGAACATAAAATCTATTTAATGATATAATTTATATTTACCATCATGCTAAGTTTGATCTAAATCAGATTTTTACTAATGAACTTGCATTCTGTGTTAAATAATCCAGCAGCGAATAGTGTTATAAGGGTACTTTTAAAATATAACAAAACAATGAATGTTATTTTCAAAATGTTTAAATTATTTCAAAAAAAGGAAGGGCCAAAAAGAGTGTTCTTTGATTCCTTCTGCTAATTATTTCTTCTGGTAACAGAAATGAGGGGTTTTATTCCATATCGTGAATATATACCCAGACCTCTATCATTCCCGTACTCTACCTTTAGAAGTTTATACTTAGAAAGGGGTCCTGAAGATATAGGATGGTCAAAGACTCTATGGAACAAGTTCCGGAGTCCTAATAGCTGATGAATAATAAGCTAATAATACTGAACAACTAATAATAAGAATGAAAATTCATCCCCTTAACTGTCAACTGAGGACCAATATATCTGAGAAGGCAACTTTGGGTTATATCTCTAAAGCCCTAAAATATAATTTTTTCAGTTTCAGTTACTGAATTAAATTTTGGAGGCAGATTACCTGTATCTCTTACATGCATCAAAAAATATTTTAAGGTTGTTTATCTACTGTATTAATACAATTTTCTACTATATAACACATAGTCATTTTAGTGGAAAATTCAACTTTAAATGTAAAGCAATGCTAAAATTCAGAACTAACCCACTGGCACAAAGGAGAAAACTTTCCTGTCACAGCTTTTAATACTTCTTGGCTGGCAACACCTCCGACTGCTGCAGCAAGTGGGGGTAAAATACCTCGAGCAGTCCAAGAGAGCCAATGTACAATATCAGCATTTACTTCAGGCTAAAACACATGCAATGAAAAACAAAAATATTAACAATATTCACATCATAAACTTAAAGTTTCAATCACTTAATGTTAAAATTATTAGAACTTAATTTCTAAAAAAGCTACTCAATTTCCATAAATAACTTTTATGTCCTAAAAAATGTCCTAACCTCACAATAAAAGGCCAGTTTGCATGTTACCTTAAGCAGAATTTTCCTTTACTAGTACTTGATCATTTTTGCTTTCTGACTCTAAAAGTTACCCCAGGCCATCACTAAGAATTAAATGGAACATATACAATTTACAGTTTTTGTTAAAAAGTAGTTCTGTGGGGGCCAGCAGGTGGTGTGGTGGTTAAGGGCGCTGGATCTCTTACATGGCTGACTATGGTTTAAGTCCTGGACCTGGTGGCTTGCTTTCTCACCCCTTTCTCTGTTCCTCTCTGGTCAAATTAAATAAATAAATAAGTAAATAAATAAAGCTAAATAAAATAATTCTATTTTTTTTTGGGGGGGGGACAGGTTTTTTTGCTATAGGGTGTGTGTGCTCGCCAGACAGAAGAGAGAGACAGAGAGACAGAAAATGAGAAATCACCCCCAGGGGAGATGGCCACACCACAATCCCTTCTCCTCCATTCTCCTCTCAGGATCTTGGGCACACACGCACATGTGCCCAGCATGAGTTTTAAGCCACCAGGTCCGGGACTCGAACTGCGGTCAACTATACGGGAGTCCAGCGACATAGCCATTATGCTAACTGCTTGTTCCAATAATTCTTAAAAAAAGAAATAGCTCTGTGATGCCAGTCATATGTATTTACCAACAGCCAGTATTTTTTTTTTAAAGCTAGAGGAAAACCTTGAATCTAGATAAATAAATAAAATAAAATGATCCATAAAAAATTAAAGTTCTCAGATTGTGTTGGAAGTGGTAAATAAAAAGCTAAATTATGATGACTAATGAAGTAATACATTGTTAAAGAGATAAAGTTCCCAATTACTATACTTGAAAATTGTAATTATAATTCCCAAAATAAAATTTATCAGAATATTTTTTTTTCTTTTTTTTTGGAGAGGTTTTTGCTATAGGGCGCATGCACTCGCCAGACAGAGAGAGACATAGAGACAGAAAGCGAGAAATCACCCCCGGGGGGGATGGTCACGCCACAATCCCTTTTCCTCCATTCTCCTCTCGGGATCTTGGGCAGGCACGCACGCACACGCGCCTGGTGTGAGTTTTAAGCCACCGGGTCCGGGACGTGAACAGCGGTCGACTATGTGGGAGTCCAGCGACATAGCCATTATGCTAACTGCTGGTTCCCAAAATTTATTAGAATTTTAAAGGAAATATTGGAGAGTTCAAACATGAGTTCTAAGCCACCGGGTCCGGGATGTGAACAGCGGTCGACTATGTGGGAGTCCAGCGACATAGCCATTATGCTAACTGCTGGTCCCCCATCTGGTGTGTTTTTCAAGTTGTTGGGATTCAAACTGTGGCCAGTCATGTAGGATCTGGTTCCCTTAACAACTAGGCTATGGTGTGAGCCCTGGAGTTACCATTTTAGAGAAATTTCTCATTCATGAGAAATAAGTACTTGGAGATGTGTGGAAAATAAAAACAAAAGCATCTTAAACAGGAATTTAAAAACTGAGAACAGAAATGATTCATTCCACACCTATCAAAAAGAAGGAAGAATAAAAAAATTAAGAATATCTGAATCTACATATGGAAATGGGCTCACAGTGTATCTGAGAAAAGTGACCAAATGATAACTCTGAGCTATAACCTGGTGTAACTATTATTCTTTACAGAGGTAGACAACATATATAGCGACTAAAGTAAAATACAAATCAAAACAAACAAACAAACAAAAAAGCCACCCCAGATTACTAATAAGAGTAGGAAAATTAGGCTGACATCTCACTTCTCAACAGCATGAAATAAAACAAGGTATCAATGAAGAAAGTAAGGGCTTAGTTGTTTTTTTTTTTTTTTTTTTTAAGGTTTTTGCCACAGGGCACAGGTGCTTGCCAGAGAGACAGAGACAGTGAGAGAGAAAATGAAAAATCACTCCCTACATGAAATGGCCATGCCACAATCTCTTTTATGCCTCTAATAATTTTAGGATTCTGGGCATCCACTCACAAGCGCCAAGAGTGAATTTCAAGCCACAGGATCTGGAACTTGAAGTGCAATCAGCCACATTAAAGTCCAGAGTCTTAACTACCACACTCCACAATAGCCCTGGGCCTAGAATTTTATATCCAGCTAAGTTGGCTTCCAAGTATGAAGGCTACATAAAAAATTTAGAGCACATAACGATCAGGAATATTTTAATTCTAACCTCTTAGACTCTACAGATCAAACTTGGTTTCTAAGCTTAAAAGTCACAATGATCAAGACTGTATGATATTGGGAACCAGCAGTTAGCGTAATGGCTATGTCGCTTGACTCCCACGTAGTCGACCGCGGTTTGCGTCCTGGACCGGGTGGCTTAAAACTCACGCCGGGCGCGTGTGCGTGCGTGCCCAAGATTCTGAGAGGAGAATGGAGGAGAAGGGATTGCGGCGTGACCATCCCCCCTGGGGGGTGATTTCTTGCTTTCTGTCTCTATGTCTCCCTCTGTCTGTCTGGCAAGCGCACGTGCCCTACAGTGAAAATCTCTAAAGACTGTATGATATTGGCAAAAGAACAGAAAAAAAAAAATCAATGTGAAGATTAAATACAGTATGGGATTAGACTGACATATATATGGACCAAAAAACGTTGACATAGGTAACGAGACATTTCCATGTGGAAATAACGGTCTTTTCAACAAACAGGGAAGAGTAACTGGACATTCATATATAAAAACTTAACCTTGGATCTATACTTTGCATGGTATATGAAAATGAACTCACAAAACTATACGTAAAATTAATATACAGTATGTAAACTTGATCTATACTTTGCCATGTCTTTTCTTTTTTTTTTTTTTTTTTAAATTGGCAGGTGTGTGTGCTAGCCAGAGAGAGAGCAAAAGAAAGAGAGTGAAAACGAGCACTTTCCAAGGTGCACAGTTATACCAAAATCCTTTTTCTTTAATTTCTCCTTCCTGTCAGAATTCTGGGCACACATGCATTTTGTCTGTGTGTTTTTCAAGCTTATGAAGCCAGGTTTTAAACTGCAGTCAGTCATGGAGGATCTGCCTTTCTATGTATAACACTTAGGCTCTGTGCTATGAGACTGGCCCTTCATATCATGTTTTGATCTATATTTTGCACAGTGTACAAAAATGAAGTCAGGAAACTATAAAACCTCTAAAAAAAAAAAAGAAAAGCTTTGTGACCTTAGGCTAAAAATTCTTTTTAGACAAAAACGCAAAAGTCGCAAAAAGACAAATAGGTAAATTAAAACTTTTAAGTTTATCTGTAAAATATGTATCTAATGAAAGATTGATATCTAAAATATAGAAAGAAACGTAAAAAGCTCAATAAGTAGAAAATGAAACATTTAATTGAAAAGCAGGCAAAGAGCTAAAAAGAGTTTATCAAAGACATATGAATGACAAAAAAAGCACATAAGAACATGCTCAAATTCATGTTCATTAGTGAAATGCAAATTAAACCACAAGGAGATATTAAACACATGAAAATGGTTATATATAGACGATACAGAGAGGTGGAGAGAAGAGGAACGCACACAATTCTGATGAAAATGCAGAACAGTACAGGTACTTTGCAGAATAGCTTGGCAGTTTCTCATTGAACATACACCTATCATATACCTAGGTATCTACACAAGAGAAGCTAAGATTCATGTTTATACCTAAATCTGCATGCAAACACTTGTAGCTTCATACATAATTGCTCAAACTGGAAACAATTCATATGTTCATCAACTGTTGTTGCAAGGACAAACTGTGGTATGTCTATACAATGGAATACTACTTAGCAATAAAATGTAATGACCATGCAATGACATGGATAAAACTTAAATTCATTACACATGGGGAAAGAAGTCAGCCTTAAAAGACAACATATATATGCAATAAAATGTCTTTCATATATGGTTAGTGATTTACTGCTTTTGGTTCATATATTTCTTTGTTTTAATTATATAGCATATGAGAACAAACTTTCTTACTACTACTGTTAAGACTTTCATTTCTCCCTCATTTTTCTAAAATAAGAACAAGAGCAACAAACTTTTCAAATAATTGTATAAACACAGCTATGTTGATAGCTGCTATGATAAAATTGTTGCCTTTGACATAACAACATGAAAAATCATTTTCTAGAATGATATGTTCAGATCTAAATTTGATATGCAAAATTCAATAGACATAAATGTATAATGTATAAAAGAAAGGTGATAGTTTATATATGTTGAGTTTTAGGAGGATAACAAATCAAGAAAATCAGAAAAGAATAAGAACACCACTACTACTGCTAACAGCAGTGCAGCAGCAAATGCTATTTACTGTATGCCACATGCATTCTAAATGGTTTACAAAATTATGTCATTTAATGTTTACAACTCTGAGTTAGGTTAATGCTCATTTTACAGGTCTATAAAATAAATCAGAAGAAAGTAAAATAACTTGGTTGATGTTATAGTAAACAAGCAGTAAAGCTGGGATTTGACATATAGAGCATATTAATATATAACACAATATTTATATGTTAAAAAATTTAGTGACAGTCATAACTTTGAATATTCACCTTCTCTTCCAAAGTTTCACTTATATTCATTGCTAGTTTCAACAGCTCTTCTGAATCTTGACGGCATCTACAATTTAAACCAAAGTACCCCAACTTAAATTTTCTCAATTGTCATAAACAAAGAGTCACATAAAAACTAAGACTTAAGAAATATAGAAAAGAATGTGGAATTTTTTTTTTTAAGAGAGATTTTTGTTATTGGGCATGTGCACTGGCCAGAGACATAGACAGAGACAGAGAGAAGGAAATGAGAAATCAGCCCCCATCACCCAGGGCAGATGGCCATGCTGCAATCCCTTTTCCTCCATTCTCTTCTCAGGATTTTAGGCATGGATGCACACGCTTCCAATGTAAGTTTTAAGCCTCCAGGTCTCGGACTCAAACAGTGGTCAACTATGTAGGAGTTCAGCAACGTAACCATTACACCATCTGCTGGTCCCAAGAATGTAGCATTTTTCCAATAGGGACCACAAAATGTTCCACTAACTTAAAGGCAAAACTCGCACTCACACAAAATTGACTTATGTTATATACCTCATACACATAGCTTGAAGTTAACTTTATACAATATTTTTGTATTATAGTGCTTTGACTTTGACCCATCCCATGAGGTTGGGTGTGGATTTTTTACTTCTAGCATTGTGTCTATGATCAAAAAGTTCCAAATTTTGCAGCATTTTAGATTTTTGGATAAGGGATGATCACCTGTTAATGTTTACAGGTTGCTATATCTATAGGTATTATAATTATAAGGGGTTCCATTTTTTACAAAAAATCTGTAATTTCTGAAATACTTTTTATTAAAAAAAGTTATTTTTAAAGGAAAAAAATTCATTGCCCAGGTCAGCTATAGTGGTACAGCAGTTACTCTAGTTGCTCTATCACACTGAGGCAATGTGGAAAGATCCTGGGTTTACATCCTAAGGTGTCCTTGTGTACTGCGGGCAAGTACATGTGCCTGTGATTCTGGCTGGCTGAGGCTGGGGAAACGATCGCAGCATGATAACACTGTTGGGGGTACCAGTCTCTCTTTCTCTTTGCCTCTCTATCTCATTGAAGAAATACATACATACATACCTACACAAAATGAGAACAAACAAAAATTACCTAATATTTGGCTTGCGACTGTAGTTCTCCTGAAACTGGTCCAAGGCAAGCATAGCTGTGTGAATCTGTAAAGGGACCTATTTAAAAGATTAATAATTGGCCAACATTATTGAGTGTTTAATATGTGACAGGCACTGTACTAAATGCCTTTAACATATTTAATTTAATCCCAACAATAAACACATTAGCTTAGCACTATTATTGTATCTAACAGATGAGACAGACGAGGCTTAGAGAAGTGAAATGACTTCAAAGCTATAAAGGTATATTTAAGCAGCAGCTCCATGTTTCAGTTCTAGCTGGTATGACAGATATTTACTATTGTAGATTATCCACATGAAATTTAGTAATATAACTAAAAACAGTAATAAAATGTTTGTACAAGCTCATTCAGTACTTTTTCCTTATCAACATTCAAATTTGGAAAGTTAATTCCTTATCACAGATTTATTTACTGATCAAAATTACAGTGATTAAAAAAATAATATATGCTTAAGGTTGGGTTTGAAATATGTATTACATAAAACTTTGCATGGTTAAAAATCTTTTAATAAAAGTCATCTTTGTATAAGTTACTGAAATCACCTTTACCTATCAAAGTTAGCAAATCAGTATAAAAGTCAAATTTTTTCCCATTATTCCAATACTTTTTCTATAATACAAATTCCTATTTTTAAACTTTGGGAGTCAATTTTAGATAAGTGAGTATAACCTTATTAAGAAAACCTGACATCAAATTATATACAAGGTTACTCCATTTTAACTTTGTAATCACTTACCAATTCCCATCCCCCATTCTGCTGCCTCTCTCAAACCTGCAATGTATTTATTTACCTCAGGTTTGCTATAATCCGGAATAAGGCACTTTGGATGTTTTATCTGTTTCTCCAATGGTTCCTAAGAGAAGAAAAAATAATATTTCATAGCAAGTGATTACTTTACCAAATTTTTAAAATTAATCTTTTAAAAAATTACTTTATTCAACTTTAGTTTTTAATATGATCAGAGAGGGTCAGAGTGAGAGAAAGAGTGAGGTAGAGGGAGGGGGAAAGTGAGAAAGCAAGACACTATGTCTGGGACTCAAATTGCAGTCACCCATGTGGGAGTCTGGCACCCTTAACCACCATGCCACCTGCTGGCCCCGACAAAATTTATTGTTAAATGTCAATGAACTGAAAGCAATGGATATTTCCCAAAGGTCTGCAATAAATAAGGTTGGGCTGAAATGTTTTAATCGAAATATAAAATATCTGCTATTTTCTTATCATCACATTAAAAAAATGTTAAATACAATAAACCAATCTGCTCCACATAGTAAATCTGGAAAAAAATCAGTGAAAGCATTTGTATACTCAAAAAAAATTTGTTATAATCTAAAAGTTACCATACTTTTCTGATAAGAGGTTATCAGGACTTATTATGCCTTACGAGATTTGAATAGGTACTCTAAGTTAAGTTCTGTGTGGTTCAAAGAAACGGCACAACATAATCCCCCCGCACCCCCAACAATTCTAAACATCCACCAAATTGGAAATTATCTGAGACAATCTATCCAACAAAAACTGGAGACAGAGTAAGAGGAACTATGTGGGGGCATATTTGATTAGCTGCACTATTTTAAATGTTAAAAAGCCTGAATTAGAGGCCAGTAGGTGGTATAGCTGGTGCTGGCCTCCCACATGGCTATGGTTTGAGCCCAGGAACCAGAGGCTTGAAAATCATGTTGTGCACATGTGTGTGCGTGCCCAAAAATCCCAGGAGGAGAATGGAGGAGAAGGAACTGTGGTGTGGGCATCCCTCTTGGGAGGTGATTTCTCACTTGCCCTTTCACTGTCTCTCTCTGTTGAGTGCATACACTCTATTGCAAAAATGTTAAAACCAAACCAAACCAACCTGGACTAATAAGCATGATTTTTGAAATTCCTTTTATTTTAGCAAAAATCAAATAATAAAACAATCTTTGCCAAATACTTAAAAAATATATTACTTTTACCTTTTGTCTTAAGGAGGGAAGAATAATCAACTCTGATGATTCAGAAAGGTTATAATTTATTTGGGGTATACACACACCTCAGTTATATACATATGGAATTCTAGCTAGAGAAGATGTCTATTATTTTTTGGGGGGGTATTGTTGCTATCAGTTTATTTCCTTAGATTGGGTCCATTTACCTCAAAGTGGATGCAAATTACAAAAATAAAATATGCTCACTCTTTTAATTAACTATTCGGTTAACTGCACCATTTTATTACTTTTTTAAAATTCTGCCATTCTTTCTCTATTAAAAAAAAAAGGTATATATAAGCAGATAAAAAATACTTACAAAGCAAAATGTTTTAGGAGTCTTAACTTGGACTGCTATGCCTCCATGTAAATATGGTTCCAGTTGTGTAGTATCACCAATGCTAAAAGAAAATGGTGATAACACTAAAGGGAAAAAAGTAAGAAAATTAAACAGGAATACAGGTATTTAAAATTGAAGATTTATTGGGTCAGTAGGTGGCATGGTGGCTAAGGCGCAGGGCATTCCCATATGGCTGATCACGGTTCAAGTCCCGGACCTGGTGGCTTGCTTTCTCACTTCCCTTCTCACTGTGTGTCTGTCTGTCTCTGGTCAAAATTAAAATAAATGAATGAATAAATAAAATTAAATAAATAATTCTTTAAAAAAATAAAATAAAATTGAAGATTTATTAACATAAAGATGTTAATCCTTTCCAATTTACAAGCTATAGAAGAGTTTAGTATGGCTTTTTCATTTTTAGGGGAGAAGGAATGTACAGAGCTAGATATACTAATTTTCAAAACATAAATTATTAGGACTTAGCAAGCAAACTTGGAAAAAAAAAACTGAGTGTATTCATTAATAATTCATTAATAGATATTAAAATATATTGGGTCATCGGGAAAGTCATGATCCATTTTTGCATAGAAAAACATGTCATGACTTTCCCGATGACCTAATATCATAAATCCTCAATAATACACTAATTATATGTCATACTAATTAACACAGTATGATACTGGCTCATGAGCAGACCAAGTAAGTTAGAGAATCCAGATAAAGACCCAGGTACACATGCAAAAATCATGATACCTCAGACAGCTTGGAAAAGATGACATAATTCAATAAATAAATCTTTGTGGTGGAAAAAAACCATTTGAGAAAATATCTATTCAAATAGATAAAAGCTGTAAAAGTAGGGCCAGCAGACTGTGTAGCGATTATGTCACTGGACTCCCAGACTCCCACATGGCCAACAGCAGTTCTAGTCCCAGACCCAGAGGCTTGAAACTCACATGGCGCATGTGTGCCTGTGTGCCCAAGATCCTGAGAGGGAAATGGAGGAAAAGGAACTGCAGTGTGGCCATTTCCCTGGGGTGGTGGGGAGAGGGTGTGTGATTTCTCACTTTACCTTTCACTGTCTCTGTTTCTCTGGCAAGCATATGCACCCTAAGGCAAAAAAGTTGTAAAAGTAAAAAAGATTTAACATGATTTTAAAGATAAAAGCACTGAAGAAAAATTCCTTTAAAATCTTTTTTTTAATTAAAATATTTTTACTTAACATTATTTATTTTAATTTGACCAGAGAGAGAGAGAGAATGAGAAAGTAAGCAGTCAGGTCTGGGACTGAAACTGCAGTTGACCATGTGGGAGTCCAGCGTCCTGAACCACTATGCCACCTGCTCTCCCCCTTTAAAATCTTTTTTTTTTTTTAAGAGGTTTTCGCTATAGGGCGCGTGCGCTCGCCAGACAGCCAGAGAGAAACATAGAGACAGAAAGCGAGAAATCACCCCCCAGGGGGGATGGGCACGCCGCAATCCCTTCTCTTCCATTGTCCTCTAGGGATCCTGGGCATGCACGCACACGTGCCCGGCGTGAGTTCTAAGCCACCGGCTCCGGGACACAAACCGCGGTTACGTGGGAATCCAGCGACATAGCCATTACGCTAACTGCTGGTTCCCCCCCCCCCACTTTAAAATCTTAAAGGAAGGCTTTTCTAAGTAATATTTAAAAGAAGTAACACTCAAAAGTCCTGACATAAAGACTGCAAAATCTAATTATAAATAGTATGAAATAAACACCCATTGCAAGCAAAGTCAAAAGATAAATGCAAACAGGAAGAATATTTTCAATTCACATAAAATAAATAGGCAAGGGGCCAGCAGTTGGCGTAATGGGTAAGGCTGATTGTGTTTTCAGTTCTGATCTGGCAGCTGCTTTCTCACTTTCTCTCTCTCTCTCTGGTTAGAATGTGTGATCTATAGAAAAATTAAACAACAACAAAACAGTAATAATAAATAGAATTAAATAATTCTTAAAGAAAAAGAAACTGGTAAATATGACATGCACACACACGCGAACACACACACATATATACATACACGGGTGTACTAGGAATGGCTAAAAAATAATAATACAATAAGAAAATGAAAAGGATAGATGGATGGTTCACATTAAAGAAAAAAATCTGTTCTAAAATTTAAGATCTCAGCCTCATTTATACTAAAATTAAAATTATGCTTTGGTAACATTTTTATCCACACCACGAAATATTACGTAGTCATAAAAAAAAAACTTAAAAAAAAAAAGAATACTACAATTACTGATGTGAAATGATCAAGTTATTTTTTTAATAAAATTGTAAAGTATAACATTATGCATAATATGCCACCATCTGTGCAAAAAAAGCATATGGAAACCCTAGAAGGACACACAAGGAACTAAGACTAGTAGTTACCTGTGGTGGGTAGGTGAGAACTGAGGAATTAGAGGCAAAGATGGGCAGAAAACTTATCCCTGTAAACATTAATCCTTGTCTCAGGGCTGGCAGGTGGCATGGTGGTTAAGGGCGCTGGACTCCCATATGGCCAACCATGGTTTGAGTCCTGGACCTGGTGGCTTGCTTTCTCACTTTCTCTTTCTTCTCCTCTCTCTCATTCTGTCCTTTGCTGGTCAAATTAAAATAAATAAATAAACTTAAATAAAATAATTCTTTAAAAAATATTCACCCTTGTCTTTGAACTACTTGCTATTCAAAAAAATTCAAATTAAAACACCATGTGACCTGTGCTCTTCATTTAACATATAAAAAGATAAAAAGGTTGGTAAGGTAAACATTAAAGTTAGCTGCTATTACTTCTGGAGAGGGGAAGAGGTTTAAAGTAGGATTCATTTTTAACCCCAAACATACATACATACAGACACATACACATGTTAATCTAGAATAAGCATATATTAACTATTAACTATGTTTTTTTTTTTCAAATAGCAGAGCAGTAACTTCCAATTAATCAACTTGAAGGAAAAAAGCTTTATCAGCAGCAACTCTTTTTAAATATTCACCCTTATCCCCATAATTTTGTGGTATATAATGCAGATTTCTACCACTGCATGGACCCCAAAAAAAAGGTAATCTTTTTTTTTTTTTCCTTTTTTCTTTTTTTGGAGAGGTTTTCGCTATAGGGCGCGTGTGCTCGCCAGACAGACAGAGAGAGATAGAGAGACAGAAAGCGAGAAATCTAGGGCGCGTGTGCTTGCCAGACAGACAGAGAGAGAGAGAGAGACAGAAAGCGAGAAATCACCCCCCAGGGGGGATGGTCACGTCGCAATCCCTTCTCCTCCATTCTCCCCTCGGGATCTTGGGCACGCACGCACACGCACCCGGCGTGAGTTTTAAGTCACTGGTTGTGGGACGCGAACCGTGGTCGACTACATGGGAGTCCAGCGACATAGCCATTATGCTAACTGCTGGTTCCCAAAAAAGGTAATCTTAAGTAATGTAGTCAATTTTCATAAAAACAGGCAAAAATTCTTTAATATCAGTGATCTGAGCTTGCACTTTGTTTCTTACAAGAGGGATTTTTGATATAGTGTGGGTGCACTCACTGAAGACACAGAGAAAGATGGAGAGAGAAATGAGAAATTATCCCAGATGGGGTGAATGGCCATGCCACAATCCTTTCTTCTTTATTTTTCTCTCAGGATTTTGGGTGCACGTGCACAAATGCCTACTGTGAGACTCAAGATACGTGGTCTGGGACTCAAATGAAGGCCATGTGGTAGTCCAGGGTCCTAAAATCTATGCACCTGCTGGCCCCTGAGCTTGTACTTTAAGACATTTACATGTAATTAGAAAATAAAATAATTTTGTTACCAAAGATGTTTAAATATGGATCTAAAGTTTTATCTATTAAGAGTTTGTAACAGAAACTGATTTATTCCCATCCTAAGGATACATTTTGCAATCATTAAAAAAAAGTAATTTCATATACTAGTCTATACACTAATCACATATTTTCAAATGCCCTAAAGATAAAAACATTTCACTCTCTCAAGAACAGGTATAAAATAAGCATGCTATATGGCTGCGTTATAGGCTGTGTAGCACTGTCTTTAACTCTTTAACATGGATGAAAGAAAAACAAAGTATGCCAATTTAGTACCGCTGTTAATTCATTATCTTTAACTTCAAATGAGCCCTGTGTGAAACCTGATAATCTCTCCGTTTAAAATGCTTACTCTCCTCAAACTTCTGACTCTTGTACCTTTCCTCTTCTTTTGGTCAATGACAGTACACAGATTCAATGGGAAAAAAAAAAAAAAAGACCCTGTCCACTTGAAGACTTCATTGCTACCTCACCCAATAAGCCTAAACTGTACTCATCACCTTCTCTTTAAAATCTACTCTCTGTCTTGCACTCTTTAAGTATGTTACCCATGTATGCTCACTCTGGCATATTTCTTAAGGTTCCTTGAGTTCTGTATTGCAGCTGAGCCTTTTACAGTTTTTACATAGAATATACTTTTTCAACATCTTCCAAGTCAATGCAACCTTCAAATTTTAATCAAGACACCCTGTCCTCACTGCTGCTGTCCCAAAACTAGGTAGGTAGGTTTCCTTGTCAAGAATAGAGTTCCCAAAATGCCTGTACTCTCTTAATATCTTTGCTTAACATTTCCTCACTTTTTCATGTTTTGAGGCCAAGAACTATGAATCATATTTATCTGTACTGATATTGTACTCCCAACACTGAGTACAGTGTCTGAACTATAAATGTGGTGATTAATGAGTAAGTATATGTAAATTAATAAAACATATCAAATTACCAGTTATTTGTTGTGTAGATCCATTTAAACTTGTCATTCCATTAATTTCTCGAAATGTTAGCAACTGTCCTGTCTGAAGTTTGTGAGGATGGTTTTCAAGGCAAGTTACAATGCCAGGATTAGCCTAAAAATAAGGACAACCTATTAAAAAGCAAATTCGTGTATTCTTCTAGTACAAATTCCAAATCTCACACAATAGCAATGTTATCACAAAATTCTCAGAACCAAGATTTTAAACCATTATTCCCCTCCTGTATAAAAGCAAGCTTTTAAAAAGCTGTCACAAAATAATGGTCACATTTTTACTATTTTTTTTTAACAAATGTGTAAATACATATAATGTCTGTAGGGAGATATTAGAGATCCCAGAGAAATTCAAACATTTTATAGATTCAAACATTCTTGTGACTTGTAAAAAAAAAATTCAAAAGTTATTTAACATGTTTTAAAGTCATGTTAGAAAAAACTATGACCATAAAAGATGAAACTCAAACTTTCAAAACTAAAGAAATCTAAGAAAGGAAGATGGAGATTTTACAGGCAGAAATCTGGTAGTGGAAAGCTTGCTCAACACTTTAAAGAAATAATGTAGCTTATCAGCTTATTTCCTACACTATTCAATAGAAGAAAATATCAATGCAATACAAGAATCCAGCCTCTTGGAGTCTGTTATAAAAGTGTATTGTCTCAGGGACAAACTAAAACCAATTAGAGATGGCAAGAGGTTGACTAAACATTAACATGCCTCAAAGAATAACTCAGGTGGAATAATAAACCACTTCACAAACAAAAAAAAAAACATTTTGTTTTCAGTTCTGATCTGGCAGCTGCTTTCTCACTTTCTCTCTCTCTCTCTGGTTAGAATGTGTGATCTATAGAAAAATTAAACAACAACAAAACAGTAATAATAAATAAAATTAAATAATTCTTAAAGAAAAAGAAACTGGTAAATATGACATGCACACACACGCGAACACACACACATATATACATACACGGGTGTACTAGGAATGGCTAAAAAATAATAATACAATAAGAAAATGAAAAGGATAGATGGATGGTTCACATTAAAGAAAAAAATCTGTTCTAAAATTTAAGATCTCAGCCTCATTTATACTAAAATTAAAATTATGCTTTGGTAACATTTTTATCCACACCACGAAATATTACGTAGTCATAAAAAAAAAACTTAAAAAAAAAAAGAATACTACAATTACTGATGTGAAATGGTTATTTTATTTTTTTAATAAAATTGTAAAGTATAACATTATGCATAATATGCCACCATCTGTGCAAGCATATGGAATGGAAACCCTAGAAGGACACACAAGGAACTAAGACTAGTAGTTACCTGTGGTGGGTAGGTGAGAACTGAGGAATTAGAGGCAAAGATGGGCAGAAAACTTATCCCTGTAAACATTAATCCTTGTCTCAGGGCTGGCAGGTGGCATGGTGGTTAAGGGCGCTGGACTCCCATATGGCCAACCATGGTTTGAGTCCTGGACCTGGTGGCTTGCTTTCTCACTTTCTCTTTCTTCTCCTCTCTCTCATTCTGTCCTTTGCTGGTCAAATTAAAATAAATAAATAAACTTAAATAAAATAATTCTTTAAAAAATATTCACACTTGTCTTTGAACTACTTGCTATTCAAAAAAATTCAAATTAAAACACCATGTGACCTGTGCTCTTCATTTAACATATAAAAAGATAAAAAGGTTGGTAAGGTAAACATTAAAGTTAGCTGCTATTACTTCTGGAGAGGGGAAGAGGTTTAAAGTAGGATTCATTTTTAACCCCAAACATACATACATACAGACACATACACATGTTAATCTAGAATAATAATATATTAACTATTAACTATTTTTTTTTTTTTTCAAATAGCAGAGCAGTAACTTCCAATTAATCAACTTGAAGGAAAAAAGCTTTATCAGCAGCAACTCTTTTTAAATATTCACCCTTATCCCCATAATTTTGTGGTATATAATGCAGATTTCTACCACTGCATGGACCCCAAAAAAAAGGTAATCTTTTTTTTTTTTTCCTTTTTTCTTTTTTTGGAGAGGTTTTCGCTATAGGGCGCGTGTGCTTGCCAGACAGACAGAGAGAGAGAGAGAGACAGAAAGCGAGAAATCACCCCCCAGGGGGGATGGTCACGTCGCAATCCCTTCTCCTCCATTCTCCCCTCGGGATCTTGGGCACGCACGCACACGCACCCGGCGTGAGTTTTAAGTCACTGGTTGTGGGACGCGAACCGTGGTCGACTACATGGGAGTCCAGCGACATAGCCATTATGCTAACTGCTGGTTCCCAAAAAAGGTAATCTTAAGTAATGTAGTCAATTTTCATAAAAACAGGCAAAAATTCTTTAATATCAGTGATCTGAGCTTGCACTTTGTTTCTTAAAAGAGGGATTTTTGATATAGTGTGGGTGCACTCACTGAAGACATAGAGAAAGATGGAGAGAGAAATGAGAAATTATCCCAGATGGGGTGAATGGCCATGCCACAATCCTTTCTTCTTTATTTTTCTCTCAGGATTTTGGGTGCACGTGCACAAATGCCTACTGTGAGACTCAAGATACGTGGTCTGGGACTCAAATGAAGGCCATGTGGTAGTCCAGGGTCCTAAAATCTATGCACCTGCTGGCCTCTGAGCTTGTACTTTAAGACATTTACATGTAATTAGAAAATAAAATAATTTTGTTACCAAAGATGTTTAAATATGGATCTAAAGTTTTATCTATTAAGAGTTTGTAACAGAAACTGATTTATTCCCATCCTAAGGATACATTTTGCAATCATTAAAAAAAAGTAATTTCATATACTAGTCTATACACTAATCACATATTTTCAAATGCCCTAAAGATAAAAACATTTCACTCTCTCAAGAACAGGTATAAAATAAGCATGCTATATGGCTGCGTTATAGGCTGTGTAGCACTGTCTTTAACTCTTTAACATGGATGAAAGAAAAACAAAGTATGCCAATTTAGTACCGCTGTTAATTCATTATCTTTAACTTCAAATGAGCCCTGTGTGAAACCTGATAATCTCTCCGTTTAAAATGCTTACTCTCCTCAAACTTCTGACTCTTGTACCTTTCCTCTTCTTTTGGTCAATGACAGTACACAGATTCAATGGGAAAAAAAAAAAAAAAGACCCTGTCCACTTGAAGACTTCATTGCTACCTCACCCAATAAGCCTAAACTGTACTCATCACCTTCTCTTTAAAATCTACTCTCTGTCTTGCACTCTTTAAGTATGTTACCCATGTATGCTCACTCTGGCATATTTCTTAAGGTTCCTTGAGTTCTGTATTGCAGCTGAGCCTTTTACAGTTTTTACATAGAATATACTTTTTCAACATCTTCCAAGTCAATGCAACCTTCAAATTTTAATCAAGACACCCTGTCCTCACTGCTGCTGTCCCAAAACTAGGTAGGTAGGTTTCCTTGTCAAGAATAGAGTTCCCAAAATGCCTGTACTCTCTTAATATCTTTGCTTAACATTTCCTCACTTTTTCATGTTTTGAGGCCAAGAACTATGAATCATATTTATCTGTACTGATATTGTACTCCCAACACTGAGTACAGTGTCTGAACTATAAATGTGGTGATTAATGAGTAAGTATATGTAAATTAATAAAACATATCAAATTACCAGTTATTTGTTGTGTAGATCCATTTAAACTTGTCATTCCATTAATTTCTCGAAATGTTAGCAACTGTCCTGTCTGAAGTTTGTGAGGATGGTTTTCAAGGCAAGTTACAATGCCAGGATTAGCCTAAAAATAAGGACAACCTATTAAAAAGCAAATTCGTGTATTCTTCTAGTACAAATTCCAAATCTCACACAATAGCAATGTTATCACAAAATTCTCAGAACCAAGATTTTAAACCATTATTCCCCTCCTGTATAAAAGCAAGCTTTTAAAAAGCTGTCACAAAATAATGGTCACATTTTTACTATTTTTTTTTAACAAATGTGTAAATACATATAATGTCTGTAGGGAGATATTAGAGATCCCAGAGAAATTCAAACATTTTATAGATTCAAACATTCTTGTGACTTGTAAAAAAAAAATTCAAAAGTTATTTAACATGTTTTAAAGTCATGTTAGAAAAAACTATGACCATAAAAGATGAAACTCAAACTTTCAAAACTAAAGAAATCTAAGAAAGGAAGATGGAGATTTTACAGGCAGAAATCTGGTAGTGGAAAGCTTGCTCAACACTTTAAAGAAATAATGTAGCTTATCAGCTTATTTCCTACACTATTCAATAGAAGAAAATATCAATGCAATACAAGAATCCAGCCTCTTGGAGTCTGTTATAAAAGTGTATTGTCTCAGGGACAAACTAAAACCAATTAGAGATGGCAAGAGGTTGACTAAACATTAACATGCCTCAAAGAATAACTCAGGTGGAATAATAAACCACTTCACAAACAAAAAAAAAAACATTGTGGTTTTTCAAGAACTTTTCTTAAAAAGACATAAGACAACATTACAGTAGGCTTAAAAATAATACATAGAGAAACACAGATATTATTAAAATGTATTATCATTCCTTTACATTTGGCTTCTTTAGAGCTTTAATATAAGTTAACTACAAAAAGTACAAATAAATCTTTCAGGTTAAATAGAAATATTCCATTAAAATAGAATCAATGATTTCTCCAGTTGTTTAAGGGAGTAAAAATATTGTTTATATGGTATTAAGAGACTGTGATCAGAAAATTCAGACTTGGGACCAGCAATAAGTGTAATGGCTATGTCACTGGACTACCATATAGTTGACCATGGTTCGAGTCCCAGACCCATGGCTTAAATTCACGCCGGGCGGGTATGCATGCGTGCCCAGGATCCCAAGAAGAGAATGGAGGAGAGAAGGGATTGTGGCGTGGCCATCCCCCCTCGGGAGTGATTTCTCCCTTTCTGTTTCTCTGTGTTTCTGGTGAGCGCACACACCCTCTAGCAAAAACCACTCTCAAGAAAAGAAAAGAAAATTCATACTTTAGGCTTCGAAGGTTAATTAATTCTAAAACATTTCCCCCTTTTAAATAACATTTTAGACATATAATAGATTAAAAAGCTCTTGTCTAAGATGGTTTAATTGTGCCTCTGCCTGTAGTTACAGTGTTGGGCCAGGTGACTTTTAACCTACTGAGTACATCCATGATCTGACCCAGTAAAAATAGTTCAGTAAATACCAAATCATAATTCATAGTTCACAGGAATATGCTGCAGAACAAAATTAAAATTTATGACAAGAAAATGTTGATTAATCAAATCTTAAATAATGTTAGTGGAGCTTCAGATACTTTTAAAAATTTTCCAATTTCAAGTTAGTTTTAATATAATTCAATCAATTAGTTAACAAGATATTCTCTCATGAATATCTTAAAATGCCATTGAAACAAATGAAAAAATACTGTATATTAAAGTATTTTGCTAATAACATCTTTGTTAAATATAGCATTTGTATAAACTTTAAAAAATACGAAAGTTCAATAATATAACCATACTTGCGTTATGTTTGAAATAAAAATTTCTTTTGGTTCTTCTCCTGTTGTGTCTAAAACTTCGAATTCATCACCGAAATCACAAAAGAGCCGTGACCAAATTCCATGTACATCTGCGCTAATGAACTGTGAAATGGCAAAAAACAAGTTCAAGCTTATTTATATAAGGAAAAAAAACACCCCAGTTCAACTAAGGTTCTTTCATAATAATTTCATTTATCATTAATTATATACTTGAAATAGGTAGTGAATAATGAATAGGATAATGTGTAGCCCAGTTTAGGAATCACGAAATTTGGTATTTTGTGAATGTCACTTAGTATGACAAAATTAGAAATGTCTCAGAATGCCATCCTTATCTATTCTATAATTTTCAAGTAACAAAAATTCTGGCGCCATCATAATATTCAAGCACATCTCTAAGAAATAAATATTTTGGCTTAATGATCTAGAAAGAGACACACACACGCACATACCCAGAGAGAGAAAGAGAGAGAGAGAGAGAAAGTGACAAATCCTTGTGATAAAACCTAAAAAAAAAAAAAAAAAAAAAAAAAAACAATCAAAACTCATGGGCTTAAAATGCAAAGATTCCCTAAGACATAGCCCTCTACCTATTTCCACGAACCTAAACTACTGGTATCATTTACTCCTTTTTTTTTTTTTTTAACCTAATTCCATTTGGTCCTGCTTGCCTCTTAGTGTTCCTCAAAAGCACCAAACCAGTTTTTACACTTGCAGGTCTTTATACTTGCTGATTCCCTGCTCTGAATGATCTTCCCAGCATCTTGCATAGTTGGTTCTTTTGCATTATTTATTCAGGGCTCTATTCTAATATTATCTCCTCAGAGAGCACTTTCCTACCTCCTAATGTAGAAGAACTGATCTTGGCTCCTCTCCCCACATAATACAGATATTGTTCTCTATTCTTACTCAGATTTTTTTCTTTGTAAGACTTGAAACTATCTGAAAAACACCATGTATTCTTTTGCTTATTTATTGTTCATTCTCCCTACCAGAAGGTAATTTTCATGAATACAAAAATTTGTCCTATCACTAATGTAGTCCTACCACTTACAGTTTCTAGTACATGGTAGATGTTCAATAAATATTCATTAAATGAACCAAAAACTCTAAAAATCAAAATGATTAACTTTAAAATTAGGTAAGAGAGAGAAGAAGGTTCCACATGGTTCCAACAAACTAGGTATTACAGGGCACATGAGAAATGAAGACTTTGTACTGATAATTCAGCCTCCAGCAAACAAGCTAGCGGCAGAAGAGGCCAGGCCTTCAGAAGAAGGTTCCACATGGCTACAGCGAACTAGAAGGATCTAAGAGCACTGTAGCTAAACATCCAAATACTAATAGGGTTAAAATATTCCTCAATATCTACTGAATCTGCTGCACCAGTGAACACAACAGAACGACAAAGAGATTCTAGATCACCTCTGTCTGCTTGCTCCTGAACATTCAGACTGAACTTCAAGAATCTGAACGAAACTCACCATCCATCAGATAACAAGAAATCACTGCCGGATCACGAGAAATATGGGAAAACAAGAAAATACCTCTCCTCCAAGGGATAAGTTTAACTCTTCTTTATCCACAAGCAGTTTGATGAAAATCACGGAAATGTCTGATAAGGAATTTAGAGCATTCATAATGTTGAAGCTAACAGAGATGGAAGAGAAGAGAGATAATGAACTGCTAAAGAGAAAGGAGAAAGAAGTTGA